CTTATCCAATGGTGCTTGATATAGTATTGGCAATTCTAATACTAGGATTCTGGATAAATGCTAAAACTTTCATATCATTAATATTTTGTGCATTATTAATTGGTTTCAATATTGGTGTTGGGAATACTATGAGTGCTGTATTAATTGCAGATTCATTTACATTAGAGGAATTTATGTCAGGTTGGGCAATAATGAATATGATTTTAGGGTTTTTTTCATTACCAGTTGAAGTTATGGCATTAGCATTAAGGGATAATTCAATTTCAAATCCTTTCTTATATACACAAATCTTTGGTGGGTTATTATTTATTGCAGCTATATTTATTCTATTACCACAAAGAGAATGGAAAGTTAAATTGAGTTATGAACGTCAAAGACAAGAGTTTATTAATGATTTACAAAATCTTGATATTGGTGAAGAATCTATATCTGAACAAAATATTCATATTAAAGAACTGAAGAAAGATCTTGAAAAAAGTATAAACGATTGTGATGAAGTTTTGAAGAAAGATATGAAACATTATTTCATAAGACTTTTCTATCCGATGAAGATTTAACATAAAACAAGTTCAACAGCTTTTATATCAGTATACTAGTATAAATATACATATTTATTTAATTTTTGATCGGTAATCTGTGTAACTCTTAAAGACGAATCGGTGAGTAATAGTAAATCAATATATAACGTAACGATACGTGAATATGAATATGTTTCCTTCTTCTCATGCTAATGAGATGCTTTAATAGATAATAGTTGTTCGCTAAAAGTTTGGAGGTCGGGAGAATTACCTATTTAGGGGTTACGCGCGTTTTCTATATGTTTTTATATACCCGTTTTATTTTCCCAAATTGGGGATATCTTTTTTCACTGTTCACTGTATATTATCTATTATCAATGACTCAAAAAGATCGATCAATTGAAATCTAAGGTATATCCAATGTTCATAAGGTCTATGTGAGCTCATGGCTAGATATATAATAGCGATTGGAAATGAACATAATTACGGTTCATCAAAGATCTAAAGAATAACATAAAGTTTGATAGTAGTAAATATAGTCCAAAGCTATCCCAAAATTTATTCTAATATTTGCATATTACTAATATAATCAAGGGATTAGATCTATCTCAACCATTCGATAGCATAATGATCAAGAATTCAAATGCAAACAACAATGATTCTTTTACTTCATTCTCTTCACACAAAGATAATGAAGGTCTAGATCCAATACTTTTAAGTCAAAGAACAAATGATAAAAAGGAATTTCAATCAATTACTCAACACTCAAGAGGGAAAGATTCTGAAAATATAACAAGAACAAATAGAAAACTTTCATCATCATTCAAAAGACCTACATCGTTATTATCCAAAACATCAAGTCGGAAAAGTACTTATAATGAAATTGAAGAATTAGATCAAGTATTACTAAAAAATTATGATATTGGTGATTCAATTCAATTAGATGGAAATTCCCATAAACCAATCAATTTGAACCATGGGAATGTCCTTGAAGAATTCAACAAAGATGATGATCATGAATACAATGAAGATTTAGAATTAGGTAGACCAACTTCCAAAGTGGAAAGAATCTTCACAAACAAATCAACAGGTGAAATTGATTTACCACCAGATGGAGGATATGGTTGGGTTTGTGTAGCTTGTGTTGTGGCAATTCAAGCATGTACATGGGGTAGTAATGCAGGATTTGGTGTTTTCTTACAATACTATTTAGATAATGATGTTTTCCCCGGTGCAACTCATATGGATTTTGCACTTATAGCTGGTATGATTGTATTTTGTGGACAATTTTTTGCTCCTTTAGCTATGATTTGTATGAGATTATTTGGGTTAAGATTAATTATGTCCATAGCTTGTTGTACACATCTTATCGGTTATATATTGGCTTCATTCGCCACAAAAATATGGCATTTATACGTTTGTCAAGGTTTTATAGTGGGTGTATCTTACTCATTTTTATTTGTACCTGCAAATATTGTTTTACCTAGTTGGTTTTTGAAAAAAAGAGGTACAGCAGCAGGTATTTGCTTTGGTGGTACAGGACTTGGAGGTGTTATATTTTCAGTTGGTGTTAATGCTACTATCAAGAAAACGGGGACCCAAGTATGGGCATTAAGAATGGTTGGTATTGTAACATGTTTTTTGATTACACTTTCAATTATTTTCATTAAACCAAGAATACCATTACAAAAAGAATCATTAACTTTACAAAATGTTCTAAATAATTTCAAGACAATGTTTGATTCAAAAGTTTTAAAACATCAAGCATTATGGTGTGTATCTATATGGTATGCAATTTGTACTACTGGCTATAATATGGTTATCTTCTCATATTCAACTTATGCAACAACAATTGGGCTTTCACCAGGTCAAGCATCTACTTTAACAGCTTTAATTAATGCAGCACAAATCTTTGGTAGACCTTTTTTAGGTTTTGTTGCAGATAGATTTGTTGGTCGTATAACTTATCCTTTGATACTTAATATGGTATTGGCAATTTTAATAATGGGGTTTTGGATAAATGCTAAAACTTTCATATCATTATTGATTTGTGGATTATTAATTGGGTTTAATATTGGTGTTAGTAGTGTTATGAGCTCTGTATTCATTGCAGATTCATTTACATTAGATGAATATATATCAGGATGGGCAATAATGAATTTGATTTTAGCTTTTTTTGCATTACCAGTTGAGGTTATGGCTTTAGGTTTAAGAGATAACTCAATTTCAAATCCTTTCTTGTATACACAAATCTTTGGTGGATTATTATTTATTGCAGCTATATTTGTTTTATTACCACAAAGGGAATGGCAAGTTAAATTAAGTTATGAACGTCAAAAACAACAATTTATCAATGATTTACAGAAACTTGATGATATTGTAATTGGTGATGAAGTCGAATATTTTGTGGAACAAACTGTTCATTTGAAAGAATTGAAAAAAGATTTAAAAAAGAGTATAGATGATTGTGATGAAATTTTGAGAAAAGATATTAAGCATTATTTTAAAAGACTTCTCTATCCAATGAAGATTTGAAAGAAGCTTCATTCATAATATATATTATAATATAAGCTGCATATTTATTTTCAGATGGATGCGCTCAACATCTATTATATTAGAATACTGTATAAGGGCGATATTTGATATCCATTAAGAGGAAACATCAATATATGAGCTGATATCGATCATATTCTCTATAGACCATGAGATAAGTGAATCCCCTTATATATAATAGTAACAACGTGGCTATAGCTTCATTGTCAATTCCTTATAATGAGTTGAAGAGATGGGTTTTCTCAAATTTGGTTAGATAAAGCATACTATAACACATAACCACCAACAACATTCAGTTAGCGGTATGGCCCTGGTGGGACTACTATGTGATCAACTTCCATTCCTTAACGATGAGAAAGATTTAAGTATCTATTGAACAAGAGGATCTGTCAAGCAAGCCGTCAAACGTACCAAACGGCGCTAACACCAAGTACCTTAGCGTGTGGGTGTCCGATGCGAAGGTTATATAATTAGTTTGACATTTCACCGGCCATAAATTCCTAAAACTGATTGAATATAACCAAAACAGCCTATAGCCTATAGCCGGCCCTATGAGTTATAACACTAACTATGACTCAGTTCATCATCTTATCATCTTCCTTAAATATCCCTTCTGCGCGCGGGTTTTGATTTTGTATTAGATGGTTTAACATTCATCTGAATTTTTGACTAGGACTCCTAGTGAAGTTAAGATTGATTAAGATTGATTGGAAAAAAGTGAGTCATAACGTCATAACCAAGATTCTCATGCCCAATATAGGATTATCACCGGTGTTCACTGTTTATACTTGAGTAATTAAACCACGAGCACTTGTCATCTTGTCATGACAGAAATGGGCTTTAATTTTTTTTTTTTGACTTGCATATACTAGTCGACGTTGCGACGTTGCATATGAATTTACCAAAACAGGGCTCTTGCAAATGCAAATTGCAATATATTTAATCTTGTATAAAATCTAAACTGTATATCCAAAGTAATTATACTATTATGATCAATATTTAATCAAATCTACAGTACTTAGATTGTATGCTTCATTAGCTAAAGATCAACATGGTCAATAATCTAAATTCAAATTCAAACAATAATGAATCTTCCTCTTCATTCTCTTCATATGAAGATGAACAAAGTCTTAATCCAATACTGTTAAACCAAAAAACAAATGATAAAGATGAATTCCAACCAAATCAACACTTAAAAGGGAAAGATTCTGAAAGTATAACCTCAAGAACAACTAGAAATCGTTCATCTTCATTCAAAAGACCTACATCTTTAATATCCAAATCATCAAGTCGGAAAAGTATTCACAATGAAAGCATTGAAGAATTGGATAAAGTATTAACAAAAAATTTTGAACTTGGTGATTCAGTTCAATTAGATGAAACTTTTCAACCCCCAATTAATTCAAACCATTCAAATATTTTTAAAGAATACAATCAAGATGATGATGATGATAATAAATATAATAAAGATTTAGAATTAGGTAGACCAACTTCCAAAATTGAAAAAATTTTCACAAATAAGTCAACAGGAGAAATTGATTTACCACCAGATGGAGGATATGGCTGGGTTTGTGTAGCTTGTGTTGTATCAATCCAAGCATGTACATGGGGTAGTAATGCAGGATTTGGTGTTTTCTTACAATACTATTTAGATAATGATGTTTTCCCTGGTGCAACTCATATGGATTTTGCAATCATAGCTGGTATTATACTATTTTGTGCACAATTTTTGGCACCATTAGCAATGATTTGTATGAAATTGTTTGGTTTAAGAGTAATAATGTCCGTTGCATGCTGTGTACATCTTATTGGTTATATCTTAGCATCATTTGCTACAAAAATATGGCATTTATATGTTTGTCAAGGTTTTATCGTGGGGTCATCATATTCATTTTTATTTGTACCTGCTAATATTGTTTTACCAAGTTGGTTTTTGAAAAAAAGAGGTACAGCTGCAGGTATTTGCTTTGGTGGTACTGGACTTGGTGGTGTTATATTTTCAGTTGGTGTTAATGCTACAATTAAGAAAACTGAAACTCAAGTATGGGCATTAAGAATGGTTGGTATTGTAACATGTTTTTTAACAACACTTTCCATTATTTTCATTAAACCTAGAATTCCATTACCAAAAGAATCATTAACTATAGAAAATGTTAAAAAAAAATTCAAAAAAATGTTTGATCCAAAAATTTTGAAACATCAAGCATTATGGAGTGTTTCAATATGGTTTGCATTATGTCTTATGGGTTATAATATGGTTATTTTTTCATATTCAACTTATGCAACAACAATGGGTCTTTCACCAGATCAAGCTTCAACTTTAACAGCTTTAATCAATGCAGCACAAATCTTTGGTAGACCTTTTTTAGGATTTATTGCAGATAGATATGTTGGTCGTGTAACTTATCCAATGGTACTTGATATAGTATTGGCAATTTTAATAATGGGATTTTGGATAAATGCCAAAACGTATATATCATTATTATTTTGTGCATTATTACTTGGTTTCAATATTGGGGTTAGTAGTGTTATGAGTGCTGTATTAATTGCAGATTCTTTTACATTAGAAGAATATATATCAGGTTGGGCAATAATGAATATGATTTTAGCTTTTTTTTCATTACCTGTTGAAGTTATGGCTTTAGGATTAAGAGATAATTCAATTTCAAATCCTTTCTTGTATACACAAATCTTTGGTGGGTTATTATTTATTGCAGCTATATTTGTCTTGTTACCACAAAGAGAATGGCAAGTTAAATTAAGCTATGAACGTCAAAGGAAGCAATTTATAAAAGATTTAGAAAACATTGATGTTGATCATAATATTGTTGAAAACTATAATGCGGGTGCTGTATTTGAGCGTCGTGATGATAATATTAAAGAATTGAAAAAAGATCTTGAAAACAGTATAAATGATTGTGATGAAATTTTGAAGAAAGATATAAAACATTATTTTAAAAGACTTTTTTATCCAATGAAGATTTAAGGAACAATATTCTTCATTTCAACAGCTTTTCATATGTATATATAGCCCATGGATATACTAGTATAATTGATTATATACATACCTAGACCTGGTATGGTGATATGTGCTATTATCGTCTCATGAACTGCATTTTGAATCTGGTCCCATGCCAAACGGTAAACCATCAAGAGGTGATCAACTCATTATCATTATATGATGATCACCTCAAATCAACACGCAATATTGAACAACATTTTGTGCTTCACAAATTGTGTTTCATGGTTGACAAATGAACAGGTTCAATTTTAAGCATAAAAGTAGTAGATCGTGAGTAGTATTGATCTCTTTTCATTTTGTGTCAAGCTGAAAAATCAACGCTGGTGCAGAATCCGTTGATTTCCGTTGACTTCCGTTAATTTGACGTTTATCTTACCTTGTTGAGAAAAAATTATGGCTTCGATCCACTCTTTTTTTTGGCAGCTACGCTTAAACTGCAGTCAAGTATGTTCAACTTTAAGACAGATTGTATGTGGGTTCTTGACTAGAGACAAAGTAGATAAAGAATACAGTTATAATCCATAGAACAATATTAGCACTTCCTACTCACCATCTCAGATCACTTACCTGTGGAACCAAGGTGAAATATTTTTATATTCCAATATTTATCCACATATATCCAGTAATATATAATAGACCAGATCTATTTAAAATATTCAATGGCTCAAAGTTATCATGAAGGACAATTCAAATTCAAACGACCATGATTCTCTCACTTCATTCTCTTCGTATGAAGATAAACAAGGCCTTAATCCAATACCTTTAGATCCAAAAACGTCAAATGATCAAAATGAACTTCAATCATCTCAAACCCACAAGGAAAAAGATTCTGAAATTATAATATCAACAGATGAATTGAGGAGGAACCGATCTATATCATTATTAAGAACAACAAGTGGGAAGAATTATTATAATGTCGAAGCTAAAGAATTAGACAAAGTATTAACAAGAAATTTTGAACTTGGTGATGCGATACAATTTGAGGAAAATTATCATGAACCAATTAACCAAACCCACGCAAATATCCTTAAAGATTATAATCAAAATAATGATGAAGATCATGATTCCAATTATTCAAATCAAGATCTAGAAATTGGTAAACCAATTTCCAAAATCGAAAAAGTCTTCACAAATAAATCAACAGGTGAAATTGACTTACCTCCAGATGGAGGATATGGATGGGTTTGTGTAGCTTGTGTTGTGACAATTCAAGTATGTACATGGGGTAGTAATTCAGGATTTGGAGTTTTTTTACAATATTATTTAGATAATGAGGTGTTTCCTGGTACTACACAGATGGATTTTGCAATTATAGCTGGTCTTATTGTATTTTGTGCACAATTTTTTGCACCTTTAACAATGATTTGTATGAAATTATTTGGGTTAAAACTAATTATGTCCATCGCGTGTTGTACACACCTGATAGGTTATATATTAGCATCATTTGCTACAAAGATTTGGCACTTATATGTTTGTCAAGGTATTATCGTTGGTGCATCATATTCTTTTTTGTTTATACCTGCTACTATTGTTGTACCTGGTTGGTTTTTGAAAAAAAGAGGTTTAGCATCAGGTTTTTGCTTTGGTGGTACTGGACTTGGTGGTGTTATATTTTCAGTTGGTGTTAATGCAACCATCAAGAAAACTGGGGATCAGGTATGGGCATTAAGAATGGTTGGTATTGTAACATGTTTTTTAACCACACTTTCCATTATTTTCATTAAACCAAGAACGCCATTACAAAAAGACCCAATAACTCTTGAAAACTTGATGAAAAACTTCAAAATTGTATTTAATCCAAAAGTTTTGAAACATAAATCATTGTGGTGTATTTCTTTATGGTCTGCATTTTGTCTTATTGGTTATAGTATGATTATTTTTTCATATTCAACCTATGCAACAACAATGGGTCTTTCATCAAATCAAGCATCCACTTTAACAGCTTTAATCAATACAGCACAAGTTTTTGGGAGACCATTCATGGGATTTATTGCAGATAAATACATTGGACGAGTTACTTATCCAATGGTTATTGATCTAGTATTGGCAGTATTAATAATGGGATTTTGGATAAATGCCAAAACTTTTATTTCATTATTATTTTGTGCGTTATTAATTGGTTTCAATATTGGTGTTGGGAACGTTATGAGTGCTGTTTTAATTGCAGATGCATTTTCTTTAGATGAATTTATATCAAGTTGGGCAATAATTAATATGATTTCAAGTTTTTTTTCATTACCTGTTGAAGTTATAGCTTTAGGTTTAAGGGATTATTCAATTTCAAATCCTTTCTTGTATACACAAATCTTTGGTGGGTTATTATTTATTGCAGCTATATTTATTTTATTACCTCAAAGAGAAGTACAAGTTAAATTAAGTTATGAACGTCAAAGAAAACAATTTATAAAAGATTTAAAAAACATTGATGTTGATGACAATAGTGTTGAAAAATATAATGCAGGTACTGTATTTCAACATGATGATAATATTAAAGAATTGAAAAAAGATCTTGAAAAGAGTATAAACGATTGTGATGAAATTCTGAAAAGAGATACAAAACATTATTTTAAAAGACTTTTCTATCCAATGAAGATTTGAAACTACTATTAATATACATATTTATTTATTTTTAGACCGATTTTCAACATCTATTATAAAATAGTAAGTACATAATATCATAAACAAATACACATCCAACATTTTGCATATTTAAACACAGCTCTATATTCTTAAAAAAACTCTTTTATTGTATCAAACTGTTCTCCATATATAAAGTAATTAGTATAATAATTAATTTTGATTATCAATTTTATACAGTTCTTTAACAAAATTTTCACCCCAAAAAGCACTAGTATATTTAGAAATATAATTGAACAGTTTTGAATGATTTGAAGATCTTTTTTCTTGAGGAATTGTTAAACTTTCATGAATAGCTTGAGATAATTCATCAGTATTCCAAGGATTAATAACTAAAGCACCATTTAAAGATTGAGCAGCCCCAGTAAATTCTGATAAAATTAATGAACCTTTTAATTCTTCTTGACATGCAATATATTCATAACTAACTAAATTCATACCATCTCTTGTTGAACTAACTAAACAAACATCACTAACACTATATAATGATATAAGTTCTTCAAATGGGATTGATTTATGCATGAAATGAATTGGTACAAATTCCACAGTACCAAAAGTACCATTAATTCTACCAACTAATTCATTAACAGTTGCTCTTAAAGATTGATACTCTTCAACATCACCTCTTGAAGGAACAGCTAATTGAACCAAGACAACTTTACCAATCCATTCTGGATGTTCATTTAAGAAAACTTCAAAAGCATGTAATTTTTGTGGAACACCTTTAATATAATCTAATCTATCAACACCAACAATGATTTTGGTATCTTTAAATTTTTGTTTTAATGCAGTGACTCTTTCTACAACACTTGGTTTTTTCAAACCTTCAGTAAAATTATCAACATCAATACCAATTGGGAAGGCACCAACGTTAACATAACGACCTTTATATTCAACCCCATTTGGAGATGTATTAACACCTAATATTCTTTCCACAGATGATAAGAAATGTCTTGCATAATCATAAGTATGGAAACCTAATAAATCACAACTCAAGACACCTTTTAGAATTTCTTGTCTTACAGGTAAAATTCTATAAATTTCTGAAGATGGGAAAGGAGTATGTAAAAACCAACCTAATTTAACATTTTTGATACCTCTTTCCTGAATCATATCTCTTAATAATTCAGGTAATAACATTAAATGATAATCATGAACCCAAACAACATCATTATCTTTAACATGTTTTATAATTTCATTTGCAAAAGCTTGATTAGCTTCATTATAAGCAATCCAAGCATTTTCATCAAAATTTATTTCACCAGGATGATAATGGAATAAAGGCCATAAAATTGAGTTTGAAAATCCATTATAATGTAATTCAGCAATTTCATCACTTAAGAAAACAGGTGAAGCATTAAATTTTTCATCAAGATCTTTTGTAACTTTTGCTTGATCTTTTTCAGGAACTTCCCAACCAGGCCAACCAAACCATTGGAAAGTACTTGTTTTCTTTAAACCTTGTAAAGCGGTAACTAACCCACCAGAAGACATATTGTATTGATATTGGCCATCTTGAGTTTTTTTCAAAGTGACAGGTATTCTATTTGATACGACCAAGACGTTACCAGATGATGACATGATGTATTAGATCTCTTTATTGTAATTGATATAACTTTTTTCCAAAGATGACAATGGGTTATTGAGTGAATAGTAAAGTTGAAAGATTGAAATTGAGATTGATTTAATTGATATTTAATTGTTGTTGAGATTTATTGTTTTATAATTGCGCTGCGCTGTTATTGCTTATTTACATTTTATTGTTCTTGCTTTCGCAATTAAAAACACACAGAAACCATTTTTTTGCTTTTATAAGATGACATTTTTGGCAGATTTTTTGGCTGGGCCCGTGGGCGGCCAGGCACTCCAGAAAGAGATTTACGGGGAGGAACATTTAGGTGGAAGGTGGAAGAACTAGGTAGAACGTAGGGAGAACGTAGGTAGACGACTACGTAGACAACGACATATTAGTAGTCTAAGTAAATGAAGCTGCTTAAAAGAATTTTGATTGGAATTGATTTGAATTAGAATTTTCTGGAATTGTTTTGTTATGTTAATTTCATGGGCGGTTAATTTTCATAGAGATTTCTAGAAGCGTGGAAATCAATTGAACCCTGGAAAAATAGGAATTATCATAGATCCTAGACACTCATATCACAAAGTACATCAGTTGAGTGCTGGATCAGCAACTTGCCTTGTTGTTACTTGTACCCATATGAATTCCAATTCTTAGTCAGATGTTTCACTAAGAATTCAGGAAACTCAAATTGTGGAGAAGATAATATAGGATACACGTCGATGTTCTAATATATATATATTGGTAAAAGATCTCTTGTACGTTCAGGTTCATCGGTATCAATATGATCAGATCAACCACCTTATGAATCTTTCTATATATTTGTCAGTTAATTTCATAAGCTATAATTCGTTGTGATGCATCGATGCACCAGTAGTAACTTTATCACAATATAATGAATCACCTCTTAAACTGAAGTTCTATAGACAATGGACTCTTGGAAATTAATGAATTTTCTAATTCATTTTCAAGTCTGACATTGGTACTAGGAAAATTCTATGACCTTGTAATTGGTTGATGATGGTTGTTCTAAAACTTTACGTTGATTTCATCAAAAAGTTTATATGCCAATTGAATTCAGCTATAAGACCTGAACCTTTATATTTGTTTTTGAGTATTAAAATCAATCATCATTATTCGTTTAAGGAATATATCATATGACTATGAATCTCGATTGAATTTAATTTTAGTTTATAAATATTGGCGTTAATTTAATTTGATATTGGTGAACTGTTGTTAACTATGGCCCGATTACAATGGCAGACACAATTTTGAATTCCGACCTCCGGTAAAATTGACTTTAAATAATACCAGTACCACAATTTACGCTGGGTCCGCTTACTGTCACGACTCGCCAGTTATTTTACAGCTGACCGTTGCACAAACGCTATGTTATGTACTTCAAAACTTTAAAGCTCCAAAGTTTTACGCTTCTTTAGTAACTTTGTAACTTGATCAATTAATATCGGAAATGTGTTTTTGTGTCGGTTAAAATAAATTTATTTTTGCCCTCGGAACTAGTGGTTGGTTACACAAAACTAGTATATACATGTATAATGGTATCTACTATATTCTACTTTCAAGCTCTGGTTTAATTTAATTGGAGACTAGTCTCTATTTGAGAATATTAATTATACTGTAAAACTCAAATATTGATATAGTCTTATAGTTAATTGTATCTACCCTCGGAAGTGATTTAGGTGATCTAATGTTCATAAATTTATATAAGGCGAGTTGACAAGTGAAGTAATTACTATATAATTATTAAGTAGTACGTGACAATGTATTTAATATGTGTTTCTCTTCTAATTACATATGACATGATTTAGTTTCCATACCTTCTCGTCATTTGTATGTAATAAGCGTTTGTGATTGTTCTGAAAGTTGGTGTTTGGATGTATTATAAGTTGTACGTTTGTTTATACTTTTAAGAATATAAACGCGTATAGGATACACTGATACTAGGTACTATATATATCATTCACTCAATTATCCCCAATTACCAAAAATGAGCAATTCTACAAACAAACAATTGGCAAAAGAACATTCATTAGATATACCTCATATATCATGTATTGAATTTCCTTTAAAAGTTAAAAATGTTGATAAAGCATTTAATATGGTTGGTGGTAAAGAAAAAATTATACAATCATGTCTTGATAATCAAATCCCTTTAGAACTTAGATTAACTAAAAATTTATATGAACATCCTATAAATGCTAAAACTAATGCCAATGAACATCTTTTAATTAAAATTTCAATTCCTAAAAGGGAATATAAAGAAAATAATTTTAATATTCAAAAAACTTTACAAAATTTACATTCAAATGGTAAAAAAAATGTTCATATAACACCAATTGCAATTATAAATAAAACTTTTAGATTTAGAGAAATGTCTGATTTCCAATATCAAGTTAAAAATTCAAAATTTGTTAAACAAGTTAATGAATCAATTCATGATTTAAATTTTGAAAAAATTAAAAATTTAAAATTTGAACAAGATACTAAACCATGGGATTTTGATAATAAACAACAAAAATTATTTGATTTACCTCCACCTCCAAGATTCAGTTCCATACCATTACCATTCAATTATAATTATAAAAAAAATGCCTTGACTGTGGTTAAAGAAGGTAAATTAGTTACTAGAAATAAAAGTATAAAATTACATTCAATAATTATAAAATATTCAGATCCAACTCCACAAGAATCCTCAAAAGAATTACAATCTCAATTAGAAACATTCCAATCTCAGAGAGAGAATCCATTTTATAAAGATATTTTATTAACATTAGATATAATTATTAAATTATTTGAAGAAAAACCAATATGGTTAAGAAAACATCTTGAATCTATATTACCAATTCATTTAAAACCATTATTAAAATTCGCCCTTCCACAAATTTCATATACTTTTACTAAAGGTCCTTGGAGACAATCATATATAAAATTTGGTATTGATCCAAGAATTTTACCAAATTTAAGAAATTATCAAACTGAAGTATTTAGAATTCCAAATTTTAGAACAAACATACCTAAAGGGTTCATGACTGATATACCAAATTCTACACCAAGTGTTTTTAAATTTGATGGACAACAATTACCAATGTCTTTAACTTTCCAACTTGAAAATTTAATTGATACTGATGTTGTTATATTATTATCTAAAGCTATTATAAATAAAGAATGTGACTTTTATGATGGTTGGTTTGATAAATTAACAATGTTTAAACTAAGAAGATTAATGAGATATAAATTAAAAATGGTTGTGGATGGATTAACTATGAATTCTGATAAATTACATCATATTTTACATAATTTACAATTACAAGAAGGTAAAGATAATGAAGATGATGAAGAAGATGATGAAGATGAAGGAAATGATCAAAATGATGATGATAATGATGAAGATAATGATGATGATGAATTTGAAGATTATGAACTTGATTTAAAAAATGCAAATTATGATGAAATTTTAAAATATATTGGTCGTTTTAATGGTAAAGGTGCTGAAAAATTGAAAGAATTAAGTAATGTTCTGAAACAAGATGATATTGATATATAAGAACACGTCATTTAAACTTATTATTATATAAATTTAATCTCCATTATTTAGTTGTAGTCTTTAATTATTACTTCCTTTATATATGAACTTATATTGGTGTTTCCCATACCGATATTTTTCGCGAAATTTTAACTACACTGAAAAGAGGTTCTGCTGATTTAGTTCAGTCGTTCCTACCCCAATTTTTCACTAGGTGCTGTATTAGGTGCTGTATTTACAATATTTCTTATATAAGAAAGTGGGGGTTCGACCCCCGACAATTTAAAAATTTAAAAGAGATTAAAGGTTATAAAAGAGGGTAACGTTAAAAATTTTAGATGCTGCGCTGCTGAGGTAGGTGGTTGTTCGTTAACCAATAGCTGAATTTGATCATATAACTCTTATAGATGAATTACATAATTATGTATACAATAAACAACATATTGAAAAAAAAAAAAAAAAAGTTGAACGAATGAAAACCAAAATTTCTAGTACGTAAATGAAAAACTAATATTATTAACTTATAAGTTATACAAGGTATCCTTTGATCTTATTTATATTCCAAATATAATGTTCAGACCTACAATCAAAAGTATACCTAACCTTAGTATACTGGGGAGAAGATTAGCATCTGGTAGAGCACCAGGTCAAGCTACATCAGATTCAACATTAAAAAGAAGACCATTAAAAAAAATTAAATTAGGTAAAGCAAGACCTGCAATTTATTATCAATTTAATTGTAAAACTGAATTAAGTGATGGTAGTGTTATTATAAGAAGATCCCAATATCCAAAAGATGAATTAAGATTGATTCAAGATCAAAGAAATCATCCTTTATGGAATCCAAATAGAGTAGATTTAGAAGTTATTGATCCAAATGCAGGTGGTAGAATAGCTAGATTTAAACAAAAATTCTCACAATTTGATATTGAAGAAAATATTAAACAAGATTTACAACAAGAAGGTCAAGAAGAATCTAATGAAGAAGCATTAAAATCTGAAAAAGAAGAAGAAGATCTTGATAATTTAATGATGGATGAATATTTAGAATTATTAGGTCAAAATGTTCAAGAAGTTCAAAAAGGTGGTAAAGTTCAAACTAAGGCTAGTAGAAGAAGAAAATAGATTTAAAGTTATAACATGTAAAAAGAGTTTATGATCTTATAAAAAAAAAATTAATTTGTATATATTTAAAATGAAATCCTTTTAATGAAATAGACTTTAATATGTAGTGATTTGTGTGCTTTTGAGAAGAGCTCTGTGAGATTAAATTAAGCGATCATACATCTAAACAATCTCATTTTCGAATAAAATCTCTTTAAATACTTGAAAGTTGATGAATTTTTTGAAAAGTTTATGTTATTTCTGCCCTTACCGAAACTGTTTTTTTAAGGTAGGTAATTTTTGATTAAAGATCATATATAACTTAAAAGATATCAACCTATAAAGTTCGAAAGATTCATCTATTTTCTTGAATTAATATAAATCATAATGGGGAGTGTATTCTTACCTCATTTGCATACAGGATGGTAAGTGTTTTCAAAGAATTTGATTAAATATTGATCAAAAAAAGAATGAAAAACTAACAATGGATTTCAGGCATGTTGATCAAGCTATAGTTTCAGGTAAGTGTGTGAGCTAACAACGATTAACTGGGGTTTTACTAACATGATGTTATTATTATAGAAGATGAAAGAATAGTGGTGATACGATTTGGTAGAGATTGGGTAAGTTACTGTTTGTTTGATCTATTATATTGTTCCAGAAAAACTAACAAAGTTTGAATAGGATAAAGATTGTATGAAGATGGATGAAATACTTTATGGAGTTGCTGAAAAGGTTGCCAATTTTGCAGCTATTTATATTTGTGATATTGATGAAGTACCAGATTTCAATGAGGTATGTAATGTATTAATTTTTGTTAAATAGGATAAAGTACTAACTATTTTTCAGATGTATGAATTATATGATCCCATGACGTTAATGTTTTTCTATAGGAATAAGCATATGATGTGTGATTTTGGAACAGGTGATAATAATAAAATGAATTTTGTTATAAATGATAAACAAGAAATGATTGATATTATGGAAACTATTTATAGAGGTGCTAGAAAAGGTAGAGGTTTAGTTGTTTCTCCAGTACAGTATACTAGAAGATCTTAATGAATGAATGAAATTGTAATTATATTAAACTTGATTGTACTCTAATGACTCACCTATATTAGCATAATTATAAGCCAATTATCCTTCTCAATTTGCTTTCGGATTCCCATCTCCATTGTGCTTATTGTACTTGGCTTTGCTCGAGATTTACCCGGATTTCTGACCACTTTGATTGAAAATTATAGTGTCAATAAAAAAAAAGTGGTCGAAAATCATCATTTCAATTAAATTTAAATAAAAGTTTAAACAATTCAGTATTTGAAAGGTACTTGAAAGTTCAATTTCTTTTGAGCAACAATTCTACGCCAATTTGCTTTATCATTGACCAAATTTCAGGTCAACAGCTTATTTGTTAAGAGAACTTTTTCTTCAAGTGTTAATCAATTCCAAAAGGTTAAATCAAGAAAAGTTACTACTAAAATGTCAGGAAACGCTGCACAAGTTGAATTCTCTCGTGAGAATTTAGAAAATGTTTTAAAACGTCGTTTTTTCTTTGCACCAGCTTTTGAAATATACGGTGGTGTCTCAGGTTTATATGATTATGGTCCACCAGGTTGTTCTTTCCAAGCTAATGTCATTGACATTTGGAGAAAACATTTCGTCTTGGAAGAAGATATGTTGGAAGTTGATACAACCATGTTAACTCCTTATGAAGTTTTGAAAACATCAGGTCATGTTGATAAATTCTCTGATGATATGTGTCGTGATTTGAAAACTGGTGAAATTTTCAGAGCTGATCATTTAGTTGAAGAAGTTTTAGAAAGTAGATTAAAAGGTGATAAACAAGCTAGAGGTTTAGTTTCTGATGCTGATTCTGATGCTAAAGAAGATGCTGATAAGAAAAAACGTAAGAAGAAAGTTAAGGAAATTAAAGCTGTTAAATTAGATGATGAAGTTGTTAAAGAATATGAATCAGTCTTGGCTAAAATTGATGGTTATAATGGTGATCAATTAGGTGAATTAATGGTTAAATATAACATTGGTAACCCAGTCACTGGTGAACCTTTAGAAGCACCAAAAGCTTTCAATTTAATGTTTGAAACTGCTATTGGTCCATCAGGTCAATTGAAAGGTTATTTAAGACCAGAAACCGCTCAAGGTCAATTTTTAAATTTCAATAAATTATATGATTTCAATAATTTGAAAATGCCATTTGCTTCAGCTGCTATTGGTAAATCATTTAGAAATGAAATTTCTCCAAGAGCTGGTTTATTAAGAGTTCGTGAATTCTTAATGGCTGAAATTGAACATTTTGTTGATCCAGAAGATAAAAAACATGAAAGATTCCATGAAGTTTCTGATGTTAAATTAAGTTTCTTACCAAGTACTGTTCAAGAATCTGGTTCAACTACTCCAATTGAAACCACTATTGGTGAAGCTGTTAAATCTGGTTTAGTTGATAATGAAACTTTAGGTTATTTCATTGCTAGAATTTATCAATTCTTAGTTAAAATTGGTGTTGATCCAAAACGTTGTCGTTTCCGTCAACATATGGCTAATGAAATGGCCCATTATGCTACTGATTGTTGGGATGCTGAATTACAAACTTCATATGGTTGGGTTGAATGTGTTGGTTGTGCTGATAGATCAGCTTATGATTTAACTGTTCATGCTAATAAAACTAAAGAAAAATTAGTTGTTAGACAAAAATTAGATGAACCAATTACTGTTACTAAATATGAATTAGATTTAGAAAAAAAGAAATTTGGTCCAAAATTCAGAAAAAATGCTCCATTAGTTGAAGAATGGTTAACTTCAAGATCTCAAGATGAATTAGTTAAATTAAAAGAAGAATTATCATCAAATGGTAAAATTACTTTTAAAATCCCAGAAATTGAAGATCAAATTGAATTAGATAACACTTTCATTGCTATTGAACAAAGAACTAAAGTTGAACATGTTCGTGAATATACTCCAAATGTTATTGAACCATCATTTGGTATTGGTCGTATTATTTATTCAATTTTTGAACATACTTTCTGGTCAAGAGCTGAAGCTACTGAAAGAGCTGTTTTATCATTCCCACCAATCGTTGCCCCAACTAAAGTTTTATTAGTTCCATTATCAAATAGTAAAGAATTACAACCAATTGTTAAAGAAATTTCAAGAACTTTAAGAAAAGAACAAATTCCATTCAAAGTTGATGATTCAGGTGCTTCCATCGGTAAAAGATATGCTCGTAACGATGAATTAGGTACTCCATTCGGTGTTACCATTGATTTCGAATCCGTTGAAGATGGTTCAGTTACTTTAAGAGAAAGAGATTCAACTAAACAAGTTAGAGGTGAAGTTAAAGATATTATTAAAGCTATTAGAGAAATCACCTATAACAACATCAGTTGGGAAGAAGGTACTAAAGATCTTAAACCATTTGAAACTAAAGTTGACGAAGAATAAATTTTTTAGTTAATTTTCCTGTATAGTTTTTTAATATTTCACTTATTTTGTCATTATTTAAATTAAAACTTTGTACTTATACATGCTCTTTTTTACATCCGTACACCACATCGCGATTTAATTTTTTTTTTATTTTTTTTTCTTTTGGCAGAAAAGAATTTTGGCCTATACAATTGCAGATAAATAAGACAAGATTGAATACTATCATCATCTTGATATTCAACAAAGCCATATACATCATAGAAAATGTCTGTTAAAGAAGCTGCTAAAACACTTGTGAAACTATTGGATGCTGTTCCAAAAGAAAGATTGACAACTTTATCTTTGAAAGAAGTTCAACTTTATAGATATAGACCATTAGCCGGATTGAAAAATCCAGAAAACAATCAAAAGGCATCTATTTCAGATATTGTTGCTAAAGTAAATCCATATTCTATTAAAGAACCACAATTAACTAAAGAAGAACATGTTACAGAAGAAGATATTTTACAACAAATCAAATCATTGAAAAGTATAAATAGTAATCAATATAGAGATTATTATAATCCAGGTGATAAATTATTAAAACCAAAAGGTCATCCAGAATATTATGAAAGATTATTAGCTGAAATTAATGGTGAAAGTAAAGAAAACTTAATCACTGGTATGAGAACTGTTATGTTGGGTAAATAGGATTGTTTTTTTGGTGTTTTAAAGAAAGAAAGAAAATTTCGTCTGAATATAGTAGCTGTAAATAATATAAAGGAATATTGCATGTATTATTGATTTAATGAATGTTTATAATAATATATTACAATACGTAACACTCTACAAGTAACAAATAACATGAATAATATCGATTAATTCTATTTTCATAACGGGTCATTTCATTTCTTTGCAAAATTAACTATAGGTTTAGTATCTTTAATAGTTAAATCAGCTGTTCCTTCTTTAGCAGGTATAGCATCTTTATCATTTTCATATTCAATGAATGCAACACCTCTTACTGCAACTAATCTAACTTCAACAAAGCCATTATATTTTTCAAATATTTCCACAAGTTCATCTTGTGTAACATCTTTTGGTAATCCTTGAACCAATAGAATTTTATTTGGTGGTAAGTTTTCAATTTTAATTTTAGGTTTCTTTACTGGTTCTTGTTCTTTCTTCTTATCAAGTTCTTCCTTATGTAATTTACGTTTGTTTAAATACTCATTATAATCTTTTTCAACTAATTTATTTTCCACTGATGAATTTGAACTACTCTTTGCAAATGAAACTTCAATTTTTTTTTCAAATAATTGAGTTCCATTCAATTCCTTAATAGCTTGTTGAGCTTTTTCTTCACTCTCAAGAGACACAAACGCTTGTCCTCTCATTTTAACGTTCTTATGTGCTGTTATACTCTGTATTGGACCATAATTATCGAATATTTCTGTAAGTTTGGATTTTATGGTGTTAATTGATACTTTTTCATTTATATTTCTGATATAAACACTGGGTTTCAAAGTTAGTTGAAGTCCATTATAGAAGTAAAACTGAATAAAAACATACGTATCATTGAAATTGTAAGATTCCTGTGTCATTTTTGATGGTTTTCTGCCAAACAATTGCTGCGATTGACCTTCTTCTCACTGAATATTTGACGGTTTCCAATGTGTTGATAATTTTCCTTAAACGCGCCAAAATGTCGCGAACCAAAAAATTAAAGCTTTGTTTATGAATCAATCAAAACATCAACACTGCAAAAAAAAACACCAAACTTGTACTATCAAGACACCTTCAGAGGACAATCACAGTACCTTCAGTGTACATTCAAAGCACCATGGAACGAGAGCCAAAGGACTTGGTCTCGTCAGCGGGTCCTTCAAACAACACGCCTGCAGAGGAGCTTATTGAGATTAATACTTTAATACCCAGGGCCACATATATTAATGAAGTTGAAGAGTCGGAAGCTGCTGTTGAAAGAAGGTCCACGTTGGTCAATGTTCTACACAAGCTACCAGGTTTATTTGATATTCAAAGCCCATTAAGTCCTCTTGCTATATCCACAATTATAGATTATACTACATGGATTGTCTTGGTTAATGGAATTAATGATATCAAATTCGATGAAAAATTATTGACAAAGTATTTGAACAATTTAATGAAATCAAATATCAAAAAAGCTGTCCAAGATAATACATCCTCTATTATAACATCAATAACGGCTTATACATTGATTCTGAAACTTTTAATATCTCAATTCAAACATTTCACAACTTCAGATTTACAAGATTCAAGTCTTTTCACCAAACTTGAACTATTAGAAATTGATCTTACATTATTACGTCAAGGAAACCTCACACAACATCATAGTGTTATTCAAAGGGTTGACAGAATTTTTTCATTAGAGACTGTGGCATTTAGTCCTGATACTGCTGGTTCAAGACAGACTACTGCACATAATCCTGAAGTTAGTCAACATATTGATAGTTCACCTCCAGTAGATTCATCAGATTCTGGAGATCATGAAGAAGAAGAATCAATATCTATTTCAAAAGATTCACAACCAAATATACTTACACAATCTACCCAATTGAACGCACTTGATGATGGGAATTTGACATTGGCATCTCGGGTTGAAGTTCAAGCCACTTCAAGTTCTAATGGTACTTCACAACAATCTAAAGATAGTCAACAATCACAAAATTCACAACAGCTTCTTGATCAGTCTCAGAGAGAACAACAACACCTACCTGATTCTACAAAACTTTTAACAAACTTGCATAATGGCCCTTCATCCACTAACAATTCGGGTAGTTTAAACTTGAAAGATCTAAGCAACCGGATAACGGACCCTGTCCTTAGAAATGATCTATTAACTTGGGGTAAGAACCTGGACTTTAATTTGAAATCATTCAGAGGTATTAATAATAGGTCAATTGAACTAAAAGCAGCACTTGATAAATTGATAACACTTTTGGAAAAACGTGATAATGAAAATTCAATTGACAAAAATCAAGATATTTCTATAAGATCTGTTGATTCATCCGTATCTAAAGAAAAAGAATCACAGGATTCAAACAATAATATAGAATCAAATGGAACAGATGATGATAAAATAACAAAAGTCTTCATTGATTTGTTTGAACACAGGTTTTCTGAAATTTCTGAAAGTACAAAAATTATAGATGAAAAAATGGTATCACTAACGGAATCTCAAATTCTCATATCCTCATTAGTAGAGGCTTTCCCAGCTCTCACACAAAACCAAAAATCACTTGACACAAGAATTGAGCAAATCAAAGAGAATGTCAAGGAGAATTTCCATCGTCTCTCACAGAGTACAATAGACAATCTGAGGATGTTTGAAGAACAGGGGAAGCAAAATGTTGCGAAGATTCAAGAGACTTTGGGAAATAATAAAGAGTTGGAAACCAAAGTTAATAAAAGTGAAGGTGAACTCAAAGAAATTAAAAATGGGCAGAAATTAATAGGTGAATCTATCCAGACTCTAGTATCAAATATAAATGCTTTAAAATTGGAGATTAAATCTGAAACAGATCATCATATTAACAGAATAATACATAATTATACTGGTATATTTACAAGGCTCGATGATGCACAAAAAGTACAGAATCTTCAAGCTGAAAGGTTAAATACTCAGATGGAACATATTAGATCTATTCAAGGAGAAATGAAAAACAAAGATCAAATTATTTCCAATTTAAAAAATTTCGTCGACCAAGCCACTTCACAGCTGATTGACTTCCCAACTTTCAAAGGATTCCAAGACTCTATTAAGTCAGAAATTCATAATTTAAAATTACGGAATCTACAACTGGTTTCAAGAAGTGATCTTACTTCATATATCTCAAAAGAAGATGACAAACACACGGCTCATGCTGAAAAAGTTCAAGAAGATATGAAAAATTTACAAGATCAGTTTACAAATTCAGTAACTATTCAAAACTCTGTCACAGATTCTACAAGACGAGAAATGACAAGTTTAAGAAATGCAGTGATGATGGTCAAAGAAAGACTGGTTAAGATTGTTGAATCACAAAATGATGATGAAAAGTTTAAGGACTTTCAACTGCAATTCAAGGACTTGAATGATAAATTTACAGAAAATTCTAAATTATTTAATGAACTACAGGAGGAGTTTGATAAATGTAAAGCTCCATTAAGTGAACTGTTAACAAAATTGAGCTCTCCTAATAACCCTGATATGGTAAAGTTCAAGTCTACTGTAGAGGAAACCATTGCAGATTTACAAAAAAAAATGGAATTGAAAGTGGATAAAGAACAAGATCAATCAAATTTGGAGTTATTACAAAGTTTACAAACCAGCTTAAAGAATTTGGAAACAAAAGTTGAATCAATCCAAGATACAAAACCAAATGGAAGTCCTGAAGTTCAAACTGTTAATGATATAGTTAATAATATAGATGATGAAACTATAAAACATATAGAGGAAAAACTTGAAACAAAAATATCAAGGGTTGATGCTAGATTGAAGAAGAAAGTTGAATTTGATAATACTTTTTTGAATGGAAAATTTGTTGAAATTAGTTCAACATTAAAAGAATTAGAAACAAAATTAGAAGAGTTTGAATCAAGAAAACATGATAAACCTGAACCTGAACCAGTTCCAGTGGTGGAAAAAGAAAATGATCCAAGAATTGAACTTTTAATAGAGGAAATACAATCAATGAAGAGAAACCAACATTCGATGGAGAAAAACCAACATAAATTAGAAACTGAAAATAAGAATTTGAAAGAAAGATTAAACAAATTAGAAACACATCAATCAAGATCAACACCAAAAGGTTCAAGTATAAATGCCTATAGTTTACCAAGACCATCTAGAGCAACTGTCCCTGTTAATCCTAAACCACCAGCTGCACCAACTTTAACACAAATGAATTCCAAAATATCAAATTTATTGAGTAGAGGTAAAGTCTCTACAGGATCTACAAGATCTTCATCACCAGAAGTTGTTAATTCATTACCTAGGAAAAGATCTGATTCAGAAGCTTTAAGTATAAGATCATCACCATCTGCTTCACCAAGTTCATTTGGTATTGATATTAAGAAAATTAAGTTAATTCCACGTAATAAAGGAAATTAAACCAGTAATTGTGATATGATATGTGTTTTCTTTCTAATTTAACGAGATACGACATTATATAATTATTTTTTTTATAAATTGTAGTTTTACACCAAATCAATAATTTTAAACTTCTCTATAAAACTCTATACTTTTATTTAATATAATACACAAAAAAAAACTCAACACACTCAAATATTATATCTATATATACATGTAAAATCAATCCTTCAAACTTTTTAACTCATGAAGATAAATTTCTACTATCAGACCCGATTTGTGAAGCTTCATAAGTAGTTTCTAAAGTTTTTGAACCTTTTTTACCAGGTAATTTATCTTCATCATCATATTGATGAACATAATCATCCAAAGCTAATTCATCTAAATCACTTTGAATTTTATCTTCTTCTTCTTCTTCTTCAAAATCCAAAACTTGTGGTAAAAATAAATTTAAAATAGTAGCAATTATACCACCAAGTGCATAACTTGATTCCATAATAACAGTTATAGCATCTAAAAATCCAATTAATGCATGATTATTACCTGAATAAGTAAAGACATTTTCAAACCAATCTGGAACCAAGATACAACCAAGACCTGGTAATAAAGAAGCTGTTAAAACAAATCTATCTCTTCTTGTAAATGGAGAGTTTGAAATAATTTTCAAACCTGATACAGCAACTGAAGTAAATAAAAATGAAGTCATACCACCTAAAACAGGTTTTGGAATTGCAACTAAACTTGCTGCAAATTTTGTGAAAATACCCATTATAATCAAGATACAACAACACCAATAACCAGCAGTTCTATTAGCACATTTTGTTATAGAAATAACACCATTATTTTGAGCAAATGTTGACATTGGAGTGATTGTACATAATCCAGCAATTATGGAATTGAACCCATCACCAAGAACACCACCTTGAATTCTTGATTCATATAATGGACCTTCGGTTTCTAATCTTGAAACTTCAGCAGTAGCAGTTAAATCACCGATAGTTTCCATAACTAAAACAACATAAACAATTAACATTGGTAAAACTGCAGGACCATAAACTGTTAATTTGAAAGTTGTAGTCCAAACAAAACTTGCAGCTGGTGCAGCATCAATTGAAGTTTTATCAAAATATCCACAAGCACCTGCAACGATACAACCAACTAATAAACCTAGGATAACTGAACATGATTTCATAATTGGTGCACCCCATTTTTCAAATATAACAATTGTAATATAAACTAAAAACCCTAATCCGATGAATTGAGCACTTCCATAAGGTAATGCATGTGGTGCACCTTCAGATGGACATGTACCACCAATACAACCAGAACCACCAATCCAATCTTCAAATCCAGCTTTGATAAGAGAAATACCCATTAATAAAACAACAGTACCAGTAACAGTTTGTGGGAATAATTTTTTCAAGAATTTTGGTGGGATGAATGAGATAAATACTTCTAATAACCCACAAACACATGAAGTACCCAATATAGCACCATATCCATCAGGACAAGGTAAATAAGTTCCATCTTCCGAGGTTGGACACATTCCAGATTTATACATTAATGGTAAAACTTTTTGTACCACGACAATAACACCAAAGAACCAACAACTGATAACATACCAGAACCTAAGTAATATGGTGTCTTATAGATATGGAATCTTGTAATTTGAATCATTGATAAAAATCCACTAACAATTAATGAAGCTGTAACTAAATATTGTTGTTGATCAGTTGTGAAATATGCAGATGATGATACAATTAATGGAGGTGTAATAATCCCAGCAAGCATAGCTAAAGAGTGTTGTAAACCCAAGATGAAACCTAAAACAATTGGCATACTTGAATCTAAACCGAAAAAAGGTTGTGTAACTTTATTCTTCTTCATAAATGGTAATTGTGGAGTGAATAAATATTTATAATCATAATCACCTAGTATACCATCTTTTGTTGAAACTTTATGAATAAGTTTCCTTATCTTTAACTTGAATGGGTTTGAATCTGACATTATGATGTTTTATGAGCTGAACCCTTGGGCTGTTAGCCGTTTTAACAGAAAAAACAATAAGAGATAAGAAATTAAGTCAAACGATCTTATTTATATAGCCATACGAATAATTTTTATCAGTGCATAATAAATCTGAAAATTTTTACGTAACTCCGGTTTTTGTACTGAAAAAAGTTAAATCCGTGAATTTTAAATAATTTGGCAGCAAAAAATCCGAGTCACCACGATTATTTGGAGAAGAATAATAAGGAAAGTTTGTATATGACAATAGTATTCTAAATACATTAGTATTATCAGTGGATCTTAATTTTTATAATGAGCCTATTTTCAAGCTTTAATTCAAACTTTTAAAATTTGGAAAATTTTGAGTTTTAACAATTGAAAGTTTAAATAAAATTTATTACATTGACATTTAATTTTAAAACTAAAAAACCAAAAGACAATTATATGCCTTAAAATTGGAAGATAATTGAATTATTAGCTATATAATACTTATAAATAGTCAAATCCAATACAAAAGGTCTACTAAACCCTGTTAAACAATTCAAAATAAAGATATTTCACAATTTTATAAATCTGCTTACATAATGCAGTACCATTGGCTTAGTAAGATGCTTGACTGTGTTTGACTTCTTTCCCCAGATATTGATTTTAAAGATAAAAAAGATGTCAAATAATTAAGAACTATAATCTATGATTGTATGTTATAGGTATACTTTCTTTGATTGTTATTGTTAGTTAAATTACTTAGTATAATTCTAAATTCTGAACTATATTGCTATCTAACCTACTGTTTAGTATTATAATGAATCAGCTTATAGATTCATGAATTATTGTTAAGCTGTAATTTGAAATTTGAAATAGCTAATAAGAGCCCAGATTTACTTCCATACATAGCTCACATATCACAAATAGAAACCAATCCAAAGACTATATAGTATATAGAGTGACTATATGGATCTATAATAACATTCTACAAATCATCAATTGTCAAAAAAACATTATATATTAAATGAGTTCAAATGGATTCCATATTTCCAGATAATCACATATCGAAACATTAAAGTATATTTATGAGAAGCATATAAATTGTTATTTTAAGACACTTCATTATATTCACCTCTTTAAAAATTAGATGCTTTAATCAACAGCTAATCCTTTGGAAGGGGAATGGATTCAAAGCAGTGCTTAATTTTAGCTTGTTTTTGAATTAAACCAATATGACCCCAAAAAAACTGTTTATTTACACAGATGCTTCACAGAATGGAACGGGTGGAATTACTTTTCAAATTCCAATGTATAAATACGTTTTCAATTCAAAATATGATGGTACAATAAAGTTGCAAATTGCAATGTAAAATGAAAAAATTGAAAAATCAACAAAAACTAATTACATAATACTTACATAATCATATACATATAAACTCTTGAGCCTTTACTATATTATTAGAACAAGTCTATAGATATACCTTTTTTGATTACCTTTTTTTATTATTATTATATTTAATTGATCTGTATTTATTCAAGCTTGAAGTGGTTTCTTGTATATATTATGATATAAATTTTGAGATTTAATCAACTGTTTAGTATTATAATTATGATGAATTAGCTATAACAAGAGCTTAAATTTGAATCCAATAAATATATAAGTCATAATTGAATGCACAAATTAGTATAGAGATATTAATTCAAAGTATATATAAAGAGACAATTAATTAATGGATCTTTAATAACATTCTACAAATCACCAATTATCAAAAAAAACATTATACTATATCAAATAAATTCAAATGGATTCCATTGTTTCAGATAATCACATAATGAAGCATTGAAATATATTTAAAAAAAGTATAACTTGTCCAGTAATATACTTTCATTGTATCTACTCATTTAAAAATATAGTTTCAACAACTAATATTCACTTATAAGAAGAAGATAATCAACTAGTTCAAAGTTAATGAGGTAATGAAACCATTAGATACATAGATTCCATATGAGGTAAAACAGTTGTTACATGGTTTTTGGAAATTTTCAATAAAATATTCTTCATACGACAACAAATTTGTGGCAAAAGCAAGATTCATTTTACTTGGAAACCTTGATTAAAAAGAAAGAATCACTGGTTGATCGAAAGTTATAAGATCGATTACATAATGATTACATAATCATAAGCATATAAACTCTTAACTCTTAACTATATCGAACAAGTTACACAACACCAACATCACCAACAACATCACTTTTAAACCATCCAATGACCAACTAGCACAATCATCATATGTCAATGGATTACCTCATTATCCCATGTGATAGAAGCCCATGTGAGTGTTTCACTTTGACAATCTCAAATTCTGTCACTTTAATTTGTTTTTGATAATGTGGGAATCGTGGAAACGTGCATAGAAACACGTTTTGACATAAAATAAGAAAATGAAATGCTTTACTTTGTTGGCGGTAAACTACTTTGATAATCAATGGTCAGAAGAATACCAGGAACTATGGAGATCTCACACGTGGAAGCTTACTAGATGGAGTTGATCTGTTCAACGCGTGTAACGTGTTGACTGTTGTTGGTCTTGGATATGTGTATATAAAACATCCTTTGGGTCCTTCTTTTGTTATCATCTTGTTCATTTGGATCAAGGCTCAAAGATTTCAACAATCATGAGTTCAATCATAGATTCTTCAATCTATTATAAAGATACTTTTAAAAACTTGTTATTCAACAACTTGGATCAATTACCAGAATCAACTTTTGGTCAATTTTTAAAATATGGTGCTTTAATCCTTTCAGGGTTTTCATTCTATTTCTATTTCATTGCAAGTGAAAAGACAAGATCCTTCTTATTATTCATTTGGGCTTGCTTTGTTAAACCTTTCACTCCAACAAATAGAAAAGTTCATAATGATCATCAAAATAATTTAGAATTATTTTACAAAACTCAAGCTAAAGTTTATGATACTACTAGAGAAGTTTTATTACAAGGTAGAGAATCTGCTATGAAATTAGCAGTTGCTCATTTGAAAACTGATCAATCTTCCAAAAAATTAATTTGGATTGATATTGGTGGTGGTACTGGTCTTAATATTGAAAAAATGGATAAAGAAGTTGCACCAATCGTGGATAATTTTGAAGCTATTTATCTTATTGATTTATCAACTTCTCTGTGTGAAATTGCTAAACAAAGAGTTTTAGATCATGGTTGGAATAATGTTCATATAATTTGTGGTGATGCTTGTGATTTTGAAATTCCTCATTCTGAAGTTGATTTAATAACTTATAGTTATTCTTTATCAATGATTCCTTTATATCATTCTGCTATTGATCATGCTTCTAAATTTTTAAAACCTGATGAAGGTATCATTTGTTCTGTTGATTTTGGTGTTCAATCTGATTCAACTTCAATTGGTAGAATTAATACACTAGGTGGATTAGTTAATCGTCATGTTCCATGGATTTATAGAACTTTTTGGAGAATTTGGTTTGAATGTGATAAAGTGTTTTTGGACCCTTCAAGAAGAGAATATTTAGAATATAAATTTGGTACTTTAAAATCAATCAATTGTTATAATACAACTTTAGGTAAAATTCCTTATTATATTTGGTTAGGTGTTAATAAGCAACATGATTCTCAATTAATGTATAGATTTAATCAATTAGCTACAGAATCACCTTATTTAGCTCCAATTGAACCAAAAAAATCAAATGCTGTTATTGATGCTCCAACTTCAAAAGCTTTAGAAGCTGCTTTAGATAATGTTAAAAAAGGTTTACCTTATCCTTCATTATTTTATCAAAAAAAAACTTGGAGAGTTTATTATGATGAATTAAGTGAAGATTATGAATGTTTTAAAAATCAATATATTTATGCATTTACATGGGAAGATCCAAGAGAAGATGCTAAAATTTTAAATTTATCATCAAAAGATACAGTATTAGCTATCACTTCAGCAGGTGATAATATCTTAAGTTATGCATCATTAGGTTCAAACGCTCCAAAGAGAATTCATGGTGTTGATTTAAATCCATGTCAAGGTCATTTAGTTGAATTAAAATTAGCTGCATTATCAACTTTATCACATGAAGAAACTTGGAAATTATTTGGTCAAGGAAAAATTGAAAATTTCCAAGAATTATTAATTAGTAAATTAGCTCCATATTTATCATCAAATGCATTCCAATATTGGATGGATAAAGGTCCAAAAACTTTTGATATTAATGGTGCAGGTCTTTATGATACAGGTTCAACAAGATGGGCTTTAAGATTAGCAAGATATGTTTTCAAATTAACTGGTTTATCATCAAAAGTTGAAGAATTATGTAATGCTAAGACTTTGATTGAACAAAAGGAAATTTGGAATAATTCAATTCGTCCAATTCTTTATAGTGCAGTTGTTGGTAAAATCTTTGTTGGTAATCCAATTTTCTTATGGAAGGCACTTGGAGTCCCAGCAAATCAAGCTGCAATGATGGATTCATCAATTTTACAATATATTATTGATACATTAGATCCAATTGTTGGTCGTTCTTTAATTTCATCAGATAATTATTTTTATTACTTAACTTTAAAAAATCATTATTCACCAAAAAATTGTCCAGATTATTTAACAAAACAAGGTTTTAAACAATTAACTAAAAAAGCACCAAATTCTCCATTAGATGGTATTAGATTACATACAGATTATTTAAACAATGTCTTGGCTCGTTTAACCAAAAAGACAATTTCAATTGCAGTTATAATGGATCATATGGATTGGTTTGATCCTGAAGGAACAGATGTTGATAATGAAATTGATGCTTTACATAGTGCATTATGTGATGGTGGTAGAGTTATGTTAAGAACTGCTGCTTTAGTCCCATGGTATATTAAGAATTTTGAAAAGAAGGGATTTAAATGTCATGCTGCTGCTACAAGACATAGTGGTACTTCAATTGATAGAGTTAATATGTATGCATCAACTTGGATTTGTACTAAAATTGGTAACAAAAAGGAACGTCAAATGAGTACTTTAACTTTGAATAAAGATTGAATAAGGACCTTGATTGATCATATTATAATTTAATGTTCAGGAAACATTAAACAAGAACTTATAGAAAAAACAAGCTTATTTAAATAAATTATATATAAATTTAACGACGAAAAACGAGATTTCATTTCTTTTATAACCTATTATTGTACAATCAAAATTTCTTGACAATATGACATTAAATTAAACATTATTTACACATACATATAAAATACCCTCAGATAAAGATCTTAGCGTTCTTCTCTATCACCATAATCTTTTTTACCACGTTTACCACCTTTACCTTTAGTTTCTTGAAATTCTTTAGTTTCACGAATAGCTTGAGCAGTTGCTTTATCAACATAATCATGTAATGATAAAATTTCATCTCTATTAACAGATTCTTTTGGTAATTTCATATTAATAATTGCTTCAATTCTAATTAATAATTCTAAATCATATTGTGTAACTAAACTAACTGATTTCCCTGATCTACCAGCTCTTGCAGTTCTACCAACTCTATGAATATAAGCTTTTGAATCTGTTGGAATATCATAATTTATAACAATATCAACTGATGGAATATCTAACCCTCTTGCTGCAACATCTGTAGCTACTAATATATTTGTTTTACCTGATTTGAATCTATTCAAGGCACTTAATCTTTGTGATTGAGTTAATTGACCATGTAATGGAACAGCACTGAAACCTAATATACGTGATAATAATGCGGTTCTTTGTGAATGTGCACAAGTTCTTGTAAATATAATTATTGATTTCCCTTCAAATTGATTTAATAAATAAATCAAATATGTATTTTTTTGACCATCTGGAACAATCATCATTGATTGAATCAAAGTATCCACTGTAGAATATCTATCAGAAACTGAAACTTTAACAGGATTAGTTAATGAAGCACGTTGTAATTTATCAATTTTATTTGTCATGGTAGCAGAGAATAAATAAGTGGTTCTTTCTCTTGGAATAACTTTGAAAATTTTATCTAATACAGGACCAAATTCCATATCTAATAATCTATCAGCTTCATCCATAACCAAGAATTTTAAAGCACGTAATGAAAACCCTTTTAAATGTTCTAAATGATCCATTAATCTACCAGGGGTAGCAACAATAACATGAGGTTTACGCATCAAATCTCTAGCTTGTTCCATCATATCCATACCACCAACAATACAAACACTTCTTAATCCCATACCTGAACCTAATGCATCAAAAGTATCTTTAATTTGATAAGCTAATTCTCTTGTTGGTGCTAAAACTGTAGCGAAATATGGTGTTTGTGCATACCAAAGTGCTTGTAAGATTGGGATAGCGAACGCAGCGGTTTTACCTGAACCTGTTTGAGCTAATCCAATTAAATCACGTCCTTCAATACCATGAGGAATAGCTTCTGCTTGGATTGGAGTTGGTTTATCGAATTTTAAAGCTTGACATGCTTCAAGTAATTCTGGGATCAATTTAAGATCTTTAAATGAATTTATTGTTGGTTTGGATTCTTCTGTTTCTTTTGATTCTTCTTCATCTTGTGATTCTGGTTCTGATTCTGGTTCTTTAACTTTTGATTCTTTTGATTCATTATTCTTTTTATCTAGTAAAGCTTTTCTTTTGATCTTTTCAGCCAAGTCTAAAGCTGTTTCCTTCTTGACTGATTTCTTTAAAGACTTCTTCTTGATCTTCCCATCTATACTTGGACTCATGTTTGTCTATAATATTCTAGTGTAAAGCACAACTTGGAAATTTGACGTAATAGATCTAAATATGCTAGATAATAAATTTTTTTTTCTTTCTCTTTATTACCTTACTAATTTTTATTTCCGGTGGTGTTCGGATGTCATCGGCCTAGTAAAGAAAAAAATTTGAAAAGGTATTAAATAAACTTGAATTTATAGAGAAATCACAAAAATTTAAAAGAATTATCACCAGTTAAAGATGGCTAAAAGAAGAGTATGTTATCTTGTTGTTTAATTTGGTGATCTGTTACTAACTATTGGGGAAATAGCAAAAAAAGAGAACTCATGCTAAGCTTTCAGAAGAAGAGAAGGGGAAAGTTCCTCGTTCTATGGTTCTTAGAATAGGATCAAATATGAAAAATCATTCCTTGACTCAACTTGTTAAAGATATGAGAAATGTTATGCAACCACATACTGCTTTGAAGTTGAGGGAAAGAAAATCAAACAAGTTGAGAGATTTCGTCGTTATGGCTGGTCCTTTAAATGTTTCACATTTATTAGTTTTCAGTCAATCTGAAGCAGGTACAACACAATTAAGATTAGGTAGAATGTCAAGAGGTCCAACTATAACGTTTAAAGTGGAAAATTATTCTCTTTGTAAAGATGTTAGAAAGATCTTGAGACATCCAAAATCTATAACTAAAGAATCAAAAGAATATTTAAATCCTCCTTTATTAGTACTTAATGGTTTTACAAATCCTCAAAAGGCTCCACCACATGAAAAATTATTAATTACAACTTTCCAAAACATGTTCCCACCAATTCAACCACATTCTACAAAAGTTAATTCAGTTAAAAGAGTACTTATGATAAATAAAGATCCAGAAACTGGTCATATTGATTTACGTCATTATGCAATTGATGCTAAGCCAGTTGAAGGTTCCAAGAGTTTAAAAAAATTAATCAATGCTAAACATAATTTACATAAAAAATTACCAAATTTAGGAAAAGTATCAGATGTTTCAGATCTTGTTTTAGATCCTTATGCTAATGGTGCTGGGTTCACTAGTGATTCTGAAGTTGAAGATGATGGTATTGTTGATATTAAAGAAGATAATGCCTCACAATTGTCTAAACAAAAACCAAGTAAATCACCTGAAGCTTCCTCATCAGCTTCCACTGGTGCTCCAGAAGAAGAACAAGCTCCAAACACTCGTAAGAAGGCTATTAAATTGACTGAATTAGGTCCACGTATGAAATTAACAATGACTAAAATTGAAGAAGGTGTTTGTACAGGTAAAGTCTTATATCATCATAATGTTAAGAAATCAAAAGCTGAAATGAAAGAATTAGAAGCCAAACATGCAGAACGTCAAAAAATTAAAGATGAAAGAAAAAGAATTCAATCTGAAAATATTGCAAGTAAAAAAGCTAAAAAAGATGCAAAGAAAGAACGTCGTCAAAAACGTAAAGAAGAAAGAGAAGCTAAAGGTGAAGCTGGTGAACAAAGTGGTGATAGTGAAAGTGAAGCTGAAGATAAAAGTGATGATGAAAGTGAAGATGATGCTAATGATATTCCTGAAGATTTGGATAGTGATTTATACAGTGAAGTTGATGAAATGCATTCTGATTAAGCAATAAAATAATTCATTGGATATTTGTATATTATAGAGATAACTAAAGAGAAAAGTATTTTTTCCATATAAACTTTAAAATTGTGTAGTATATAATTAATTAATTTAAAATGTTTTATATGTATATTATTTTATTTCCGACCTAATCATGTGACTAAAAACGTGATCAGAATATACCGGAATTAAAAATTGAAAAGCCGGAGTTCCCTTAATTGTGGAATCTGATTTTAAAATCCCTATGGAATCTGACTCAAAAGCTCTTTAAAATCAAATAAAAAATAGAGAAGAAGGTTTGGATATTATCCTAGACATAATATAGATAAAATTCTACTGGAATAGTTTTCAAAAGATCACAATATTCTTCTAGTTTAAATTCAAGTGTTCTGGTATTCGCCTTCAAAGTTGAAAATCACGATTATTTTTGTTATCACCGGAGTCGCAAGAGCTTAAGTTTACATGTTTGTTTATGGTATTGGTTTTGATAAAAGTTGATTGATTGATTGGTAGATTCGGTTTTCATCTGTGGTATATTACATCTTGACGTTTATTCAGCTCATAATACAAAAAAACACTATATGAAATAGAAGGTATGTCTGACACCCATTCGTCAAGAACAAGATCAGAAATTCCAATATGGCAACCAGATGAAGAAGTAAATTCATGTTATCTTTGTAATAAAGAATTCACATTTTTTTTCAGAAGACATCATTGTCGTAAATGTGGGAATGTCGTATGTGGGGATTGTTCAAATACAAGAACTTCTTATGAACCAGGTACTCATGTTGTTACACCTTCTAGTCAAATTTATATGGAATCTCCATTGGTGCCACATAGAACTTGTGATGTTTGTGTTCAACAATTAGCTCTGGAATCAAGTCTTAGAGATAGTTTCATGACTACAGCAACTTCTCCAGTGGAAGTTCCACAAAGAAGTACAATTAAAGATTCATCAACTCAAAGAACAATAGATATAAATGATGATTCAGATCAAGAAAGAGAACGTTGTCCAATTTGTAATAAAAATTTACAAAAACAAACAGAAAATGAAAGAGAAGATCATATCAATACTTGTTTGATAAATGCAGAATTTTCAGGATCTCCAGAACAATTTAGAAGTAATAGAATGCTAGTTTATTATATTCCTTTCCCAGATCCTAAAAAAGTTGTTGTTTCATGTTCAGATGCTTCAACTTCAACTTTACAACAAAATACAACACATCACAATGATGAAAAACTTATAGGAGAAGATGAATGTGTTATATGTCTTGAAGATTCAAAACCAGGTGATAAAGTTGGTCGTCTTGAATGTCTTTGTGTTTTCCATTATAAATGTATCAAGAATTGGTTTAAAAGGAAAGGACCTGGTGATTGTCCAGTTCATGCTGTACATCAATGACTTGTTGTAGTCGTATGTTACAACTATGAGGCTGCTATGGAAATGGTAACGGTGTTTGGTTTGTTAATTTGGTTTGTTTTACATTTCATGTTGGATGGAATTTTATAGGTTGGTTTTTTTGGGATTATTTACTATCACTAAGTTTGGTTTTTTGTATTTTTTTATGTACTACATGTGTTAATAGGTAACGCTAGAGTCTCTCTAAGTTATATATTATATGATGTTTGCTGTATTAGTTATCATATAGCTTTGAATCTTGATGTATTGTAGAGCTTCAAGTAGTATACCAAAAATTCGCGATTGTTTGTTGATCCTTATAAAAAATCTATAGGAATCATTTGTTTACATTAATTAAACATCAACCAAACCAAACCCAGTCTCAAGAAAAACAGATAATCAAAGATGGAAAATCCTCATGAACAAGTACAAAATGCCTTATTGGCTCGTATAATCAACAATGTTGTAAGTTCAAATAGTTGTCTTTACATAAACGATCATTGAACGCGTTTATCTAACAATAACAATCTAGGAAAGAGTTAATGAAAGTGTCATAATTATGAATAACTCATTACGTGTATGTATTTACAAGTTGGATGTATGATATGGCCTTGAGACTCTAACAGATTGAAAAGGAAGCAAATAAGGATAATCTTGATGTTGAAATGTTAGCTCAAATGTGGGAAAATTATCAATTAAATGCAGAGTTCAATTTAGAGGCTACAAATAATAAGAAAGAACCACTTTAAGTCAACGTTTTGTGTTAGATGTACACGAAATAAATCATTTTAGTTGAAAAGAACTACTGGAAGAGCGCCCTAGGTATCAGAAAAGAGCAGATAACTAAATTTCACTACAAGGCCAAATACACTAAGCCCAGAATTTCATAATTAATCCATCCCTTTTATTATTATACAGTGTAACATAAATGAAAAATAAAACAATATAAGCAAGAAATATGGTTATACCAAAAGATTCAAAAATCAAGTCTATTTTAAGTTTTGAAAAAAGAAAAATCAATCAACAATTTAAAATAAAAATAAATTGATATGGAACGAATTTAGTTAATTTTTAGAACCTTTATGATTATATTAATATGCCTTTTGAGAAAAAAAATATGCTTGTAGTTCATGATATGTAAATTTTTGTTATGTTGAAATTTTGAATGATATTTTTAAAATTCAGCGGTCCATTCTTAATATTTGATTGCTTCTAAAGGAAAGTGAAATGTTAGTAAATGTTCATTATTGGAAACAATGATATCTCACATACCTTGTTGAGTTGGTAACAAGTTGAAACGTTTTTTCAAAGTAACTCTTTGTCTTGAGTATTTATCATCTGGAGAGAAACGAGCTGGATGAGCTGATTTTGTGATTTCACCAGTTTCAGTGGTTTTTTTCAAAGTGTAGATTCTCTTTCCGTCTGGACCTAAGGTGTACATTAAATGCATTTTGAATAATAGTTTTTTAGGTTATCAGTTTATAATAACTTTTTACAAGTCAAAGCTTTCTTTTACTTTTTGTTACTTTAATTTTCACTTTTCCTAAAAATTTTTTTTATTTTCGAGATGGATTAGTCAGTGATTATGTCAGTGAATTCCCTTCGAATTATACGCGCACGACTTTTTGTAGATGTGTCCGATTTGATTCATTTTAGAATATGACAATTGGAAAACAAAACAACGAAATTAACAATTTCAAAGAGGGTAGAAGCAACTTAGATCTAGGGCAATTGATAGTACAAGATGTCGAAGAAGGATGACTTTGCTGACTTGTTCTCAGCGTATGCTCCCAAGAAGAAGGATGACTCCAAGTTGTCGCTAGCCGAAAGAGGAAGAAACAGTCCAGCAACTGCTAGAGGTAATAATTGGGCTGATTTTGATTATCTAGAGAGTTCAAGAAGTAGTTCTAGAATGGCTCAAGCAGGATCAATACCCTCTACAAATCCACAAAGCGGGTTTAATACTTCCAATAATAATAGTGGCTCAGATTTATTTGAAGGATTCGATGTCATTAATAGTAAGAATGGTTTAAATGCCCCCAAAGCCTCTGCAACTCCTCAAAGATTCAATCAATCAGATGATTTATTTGAAGGTTTTCCAAGCTCAACTCCATCATCAAATCAAGCAACAACTCAAAGAAATAACGCAGAAATTGATCTCCTGGATAGTTTTGGCGATGATTTTTCCTCTACAAATGTTTCATCTACATCAATTCCAAGAATTGGTGAACAATCACATTCACAATCACCACAACCAATTCCAAATACAAGTGAACAAAATTTAGATGATTTATTTTCAGTATTTGATAAACCTCCACAACCTGCTAAACCAGAACCAAAATTACAGAATCCAATACCAACTCATTCAAATCAACAATATGATGTTTTACAAGATACTAGATCTTCAAGGAATGGAAGAGATCATCAACAACACCAAAACCAATCTCGTCCTGCACAGCAAAGAAGCCGTAAATCAACACCAACAATAAGTGGTGAAGCTCAAGATGAAGCAATTGCATCATTAGTGGATATGGGATTTTCAATTGAACAAGCAAATGAAGCTTTACAACATACCAAAAACCCAACAGATATCAATGGAGCTGTTTCTTATCTTATGAATAAAGCTCATCAAGAAGGAAGAGCTAGAGCTGGATTACCACCTGAAAGATTAAGTCGTACATCATCAGGAGCAAGATCAAGTCCTCATAATGGTGGTTATTCAATGAAGAATGCAAATCAATATTTTGAAAATTTCACCAAAACTGTTTTTAAAGCTTCAGATAAACTTGCTAATGAAGTTGCAAATAGATTTTTCACACCACCTCCTTCAGATGGTAAACCTGCTTGGATGCGTGATGCTGAAAAATATAAAAGACAATCTGAATTTGATGAAGATCCAGAAGAAATCAATGGCGAATACTTGGAAAAATTAAGAATTAATGAAGATAATGATCAAGATGAAGATTATAGAAGAGCACCAGTACCTCCTCCAAGAAGAAGAGCTCATCCTTCAGGAAATGTACCAAGAAGATCTTCTAAACAAGGTCAAGAAGATTTATTATTCGAAACTGAACCTAAACCTCATGCAGCAACACCACCACCAAATAATCAAGCTCAATCACAACAAGAGGATGAAATTGATATTTTTGCTCCATTACCTCAAAAATCAACCCCAAGTGCACCATTAACTGCATCTCAAAAATTACAAAATTCATCATCAAATGATATGATGACATCTTCATCAAGAAGAAGACAAGTAAATCGTTCAAAAGCACCAACACCATCTTCATCAACTCCAAAACCATCAAGACCAGTCATTGGATTATCATCAATTGAGCGTGAAACTTTTGATGAATTTCGTGAAAGAGGTGGTGCAGCTTTTAAGCAAGGTGATTTCACTACAGCATCTGAACATTATGAAAAAGCATTGAATTCCCTTCCAAAAGGTCATTTATTAAGCATAATAGCATATTCAAATTGTATTACTGCATCTTTTAAAAATGGTGAAAATAAAAAAGTGATTGAATATTCAGATTCTGCTCTTTCATTAATTGGTCCAACAAGAGGTGTTTCTGAAGAAATTGAAGATGGTAAAAATATGAAAGATTTTTGGGTCAAGATTACACAAAGAAGGGCAGAAGCTTTTGAACATTTGGAAAAATTTCAAGATTCTTTAAATTCATGGAATGAATTGATTGAAAATGGATCTGCTAATAAAGTTACATTGGATGGTAAAAGACGTTGTCTTGATGCATTGAATCCTAAACCAAAAACTACACAGAAACCAAGAGCACCACAGCCAACACCTAGAAAACCAGCAAGATCAACAAATTCATCATCAATCAGCGAGGGTGAAGCTTTAAAGAGAATTCGTGAAACTAATAAAGCATCACAAAACTTCGAAGAAGACAAATTCAAATTGAATGATCAAATTGAAGCTAAAGTTAATTCTTGGAAAAATGGTAAAGAAGATAATTTAAGAGCTTTATTAGCATCATTACATGAAATCTTATGGTCAGAAACAAATTGGAAACAAGTTAATCTTGCAGATTTGGTTATGCCTAAAAAGGTTAAAATCACTTACATGAAAGCAGTTGCAAAAGTTCACCCAGATAAGATTCCACAAAATGCTACATCTGAACAAAAATTAATTGCACAAAGTGTATTTGTTGTTATAAATACTGCATGGGAGAAGTTTAAAGTTGCAAATAACATTCAATGATTATATATATACAAAGAGATAAATAAATGATGGACGTACAAAATTGAAAGATGATATAACATAAATATTGATCATTTGTGATTAAACCCTGTATATATATGTAGGATCATTAGTAATTCTATGTACTTGCTTCGCTTAGCGCTTGTTTATATCTTGAAGTAGCCGCGGCTAAAGATTCATTCAAAGGTTTCATATAACCAATTGATTGTTGTTTAGATTTTTCATCTTTAATTTGTTCTAATGCAACTTTAATTCTTTCTTGAGATTTTAATAAACTATTGTAAAGACTTTTAATATTATTTGCCTGTGATGGATCTCCAGATGAAAAATGTAACCAAAAATGTCTCAAGAATTCAACAGAAGTACCATGTGTTATTCTTAGTTGTTCCATTAAGGCTTTATCAACAGTTTCATCTGATTCATCAAGGACTTGATGATTTGCTTGTTCCTCTAATGAGCGATAAACTTGCCAACTTTGTTTTGATTGTTTGGAATTAGTTCTAACAGATTTCAAAACAGCAGATGATGCATCTTCAATATGTCTTTTTCTTTCATCAGATAAAAGACTTTGTAAATTTAATGGTGTATCAACTTGGGTTCTCAAATTTTCAGTATAATTTGCATATTCTGCCCTTGTTGGTGGTTTGATTTTTTTAATTTCTCTTGTTTCATTTTCTGGTTTCAATGCAATTTCTGCATATTCTGTATGTTCTGGTTGTTCTAAGTCTTTGAATAGTAACTCTTCTCTAATACGTTCATTTTCGAGTTCTTCTTTACTCTTTTCCACTCCAGGGGTTGCTGATCTTGAATATTCATGTTCTAAACTATTAACCATTTTTTGACTTAGCCTGTTCATACTCTTTAGTACAGAAATTGTTTCTGGTACTGCATTAGGTTTCATTGTCATATCAGGTCCATTACCTAATTTAGTAGAATCATCCTCTTTATTACCAGCCAAATCAATAGTTTTATTAACTTTATGATCTAATGTTTCATCTTCATGTTTTTCATAATCAACATCCATATTTATATATTTATCCAAGATTAAATCACCTCTAGCATTGTTATTGATTTTTTCACCTCTTAATTTTCTGAATAATTTAGAACTGAAAAATCTTGACCAAAATTCACCTTCACTTAATCTCGGTACATTATCATCGTATGCTTTTCTAACAACAGGATATTGTTCAAAAATAGCATGAATTTTTTCACGAGTAACCGAGACATTGACTTGATTATCACTTGTTGCAGTTGGTTTGATTGTACTCAAAACATTATATGGTCCTCTTTTTTGTGAGTTTGATAATGCAAATGCTCTTAATAAATGGACTCTTGTTGTCCAGAACTCAGCTGGATCTAATCCCTGATTCATGACTGCTTCTTTGAATGTAGACATTAGTTGTTTATTCTCCAGTAGTAATTTCTGTTGTAATTGATGATTTTTCAAAAGTTTCTTTGAATCCAAGGCATCATCAAGGAAAGTTGTATTGATTAAAGGTTTTTCTGGAGCTGGACTTTCACTTGCAGTCTTTGCGGCTTGGATAGCAGATTTATGTCTCGCCACTATTTGTTGTAATGATTCTTTAATATTATCCATAACTATTCTATTATTGAAACCGAAAACTTGATTCACAGGTTCAGCAGCCTCTGTTTGTTTTGTAATAATCTTTAACATCATCTTTTCAGAGTTTGCAGGAGTTGCCTGAAGATGTGAAATAGTGGTCAATACAATCTCCACTGAAGGAATTGCAACAGCACTATCAGCAGCTTTCCATAGCAATATGGCAGGTGATCTATCTTCATAAATGGTAATAATACCGGACTTTTTCTTGTACGTAGCAGCTCCCGTTACCAAAGACATCTTGTGTGTATGACCTGTTGATACTTGAAATGGGATATATGAGCCTTTAAAGCACTAGAAAGAATTGATTTTGGTGATTTTGGATACTTTGTCAGTAATAAATAAATGGTTCAAATTAAAATTATAGTAGATATCAATAATTGTCATTCGCGGAAATATTACATAATCGCTGACAAAATTTTGGTGATGAAATTTTTTTTGATGATTTGAAAAAAAGCCATAGGCCATTAAGGTTAATTATAAAGACTTTGAAAGAGTTATACTACCTATTATAGAATCTCAAGACTACAAAATGACTGTTATTGGTGTCTCATTCGGTAATACTACCTCCTCAATCGCTGCCCCAGCCCAAGATGGTAAAGGTGTTGAAGTTATTGCTAACCCAGATGGTGAACGTGCCATCCCATCAGCTTTAGCCTACGTTGGCGAAGATGAATATCATGGTGGTCAAGCTTTAGCTCAATTGATCAGAAACCCAAAAAACACTATCATCAACTTCCGTGATTATGTTGGTCAATCATTCTCAAAAGTTGACCCAACCGTCACTGAACGTGCTTCCCATGCTATTGACTTGAACGGTCAAATTGGTTTCCAAGTTACCAAATCAAATGAAGCTGGTGAAGAAAGAACTGAAACCGTTTCAGCTGAAGAAGCTACTGTTAGACATTTAGGTAAGTTAAAAGCTGCTGCTGCTGATTACTTAGGTACCGAAATCACTGGTGCTGTTGTCGCTGTTTCAACCGATTTCACAGAAGAACAAAAAGCTGCTTTAGTTAAAGCTGGTGATGCTGCTGGTTTAAAAGTTTTACAAATAATAAGTGAACCAAGTGCTGCTTTATTAGCTCATGCTTCAGTTGAAGACCGTTTAGAACAAGATAAAACCTACGTTGTCGCTGATATTGGTGGTATCAGAACAGATGCTGCTGTTATTTCAGTTCGTGGTGGTATCTTAACCACTTTAGCTACTGCTCATGATTATGAATTAGGTGGTGACAAATTAGATGATGCTTTAGCTGAATTCATTGCTAAAGAATTCGAAAAGAAATATAAAGTTGATCCAAGAAAAACTGCTCGTTCATTAGCTAAATTAAAAGATGCTGCTATCTTAGCTAGAAAAACTTTATCAAATGTTCAATCAGCTACCATTTCAATTGAATCATTAGCTGATGGTATTGATTACCACTCAACTATTAACAGATTACGTTTCGAATTAGTTGCTCGTAACGTTTTAAGTCAATTGACTGGTTTCGTTGAAAACTTGGTTAAAAAAGCTAACTTGGACACATTAGATATTGATGAAGTTCTTTTAGCTGGTGGTGTTTCATTTACTCCAAAATTAGCTTCAAACATTCAATTCATTTTCCCAGAATCAACTGTTGTTGTTGCTCCATCATTAGATACTAAAGCTTCAAACCCAGATGAATTAGTTGCTCGTGGTGCTGCTTTACAAGCTACTTTATTAGAAAACTTTGATGAAGAAGAAATTAAAGAAAGTTTATCACCAGTCATTGTTAACACTCAACATATTTCAAAAGCCATTGGTATTGTTAACGCTGCCGGTGAATTTGTCCCAATCTTGAAACAAGAAACCACATACCCAATCCGTCGTTCAATCCAATTAGATGCTCCAAAAGGTGATGTTTTAGTTTCAGTTTACGAAGGTGACCAAAAAGTCAAAGAAACTGTTTTAGAACCAGCAGCAAAAGATGAAGATGATGAAGATGATTACTCAGATGACGAACCAGAAGTTGTCAGAGAAAAACATTTCTTACCAGGTACTAAATTAGCTGACTTAGCTGTCCGTGACATCCATGAAGGTTCAAAAGTTGAAGTTACTTTGAACATAAATAAAGAAGGTACTTTACAAGTCAGTGCTAGAGAAGTTAGACAAGGTTCAGTTGCTTTCAGAGGTGAAATCACCTACTAAAATGTATAGATACTTTCACTTCATAATATAATATAAATTCGGTTTATGGGTATAATAGCATGAAAAGTAGGAAAACCGCTCAACGATTGAATTGAAACCAAATATATTGACTTAGATTCTTTGATAAAAAGGCCAAAGATCTATAAATTTAAAATATGAAGGTTTTAAATTGGATAGGCGTGGCGAAACCGCTAACGGGATTTGAACCCGTATAATCAATCAGAAAGTAAGATTTCGAAAAATGGATAAAGATTATGACCCATAACTTTCTTTCTCTATATTACAAAACTTTTCAAGGCTACTTGTTTTATAGAAGACATAGAAGACTATTAAAGATGACAAGAGCACATTCCGTTCATGTTTTGGGTGCAGGTAGTATGGGTGTTTTGGTAGCTTCAGAACTTTCAAAGTTACCAAACGGTCCTAGTATAACACTATTGTTAAGAAATACAGCTAAAGTTGAACATTTCAAAAATGTCAACAAATCCACTGTTCATGTTCAAAGATTATTCAAATCTCCAGTGGAGAAAGCTGCCTACCAATTTCCAGCAGCTTCAGCTAATGAGATCAATGAAACCATAGAAAATTTAATCATCACCACCAAGACATACCAAACTGAAGCAGCCTTAAAAGATTACTTACCATATTTGAAACCAACTTCAAATATTTTACTTATCCAAAATGGATTAGGTGTTGCTGATCAACTATACGAAAATGTATGGCCAGATGTTAATCAAAGACCAAATATATACCAGGGTGTTATTTCTCATGGTGGGTTTATTGAATCAAATACCGGTGATGAATATGTGTTTTCCCATGCTGGGTTTGGTGATTTGAAATTGGCTAAATTCCCAAGAGACACTTCTATAACAGAGGAAGAAAGGTATGATAAACCAGAGTTCATTAAGAATCTTGAAGATGCTGAAGGATTAGCAACTACAACTTTGAGCTATAGTGGATTGTTATTGATTCAAATCAAAAAGTTTGCTGTTAACGCATGTATCAACCCGGTAACTGCTATTGTTAACTGTATTAATGGTGAATTGAAGTCTGCTGATAACTTGAGAGATCTTTTCAACGATATCATCAGTGAAGCTATTGATGTTTTAGTTGCAACCAATCCATTATTAAGAAAGAATCCAAATACTGAAAAGATTTTAAATAAAAAGGATTTATTAGACTATGTTGTGGTATGTGGTACTGAGTGGAATGCCAACAACTCTTCATCAATGAGACAAGATACTTTAAATGATAGAGATACTGAAATCGAATACATTAATGGATTTATTGTCAAAGTCGCCGAAGCTAACGGGTTGAAAGCCGATGTCAACAAGACCATTGCGAACCTGGTGAAGCTCAGAACAGCATTGAATAGATCAAAAGCCAATAAATAAATTTTAATAGATTTAAATAGAATTGAATAGATTTTAATAGATGATAAATTCAAAATATTTGTGTATAGTAGTAAATTCTTAACTAGGGTGCTGCGCTCACCAAATTACATAAGCTCCACTATGTTTTTTTTTTCTGGCGCTGAAGCTCTAAAGAAAAAAATCTGTAAACAAAACATAGGAATTGGATCAAGAAAGTAAACAATCGCATTCAAATTCCAAAGAAAACTAAGAAAGCTGAATCCATAATTGTTGAATATGGCTAAACACTGGTCAGTTTCATCTTTTGTTACCTTGTATCGCTCCATTGAGCAAGGTGGTGTGGATTTGAATCTTTTGAAAGAATTGAAACAGGATCTTAATGATCTAACAATCATACCCAAGAAAAATCAAACAAGTAGACAAACATTAGAAAAGGGTAAAATCACTATAGAAGGTGTGGAATATGAGGTTAATGATGAATTCAAGATTGCAGCTGCTACAGTTGCAGATGAGCTAAATATTGATGAGCTAATTGCCGCTGAATTGATCCAAACATCAACTGAATTAGGTGCCGATTTGATCGATAATGCAAAAGCTTCATATTACTTAAGAAAACAACATATATTGTCAGTCGTTTCATATATTTTCAACGCTGGTGATAAGACACTTTCTGACTTATTATTTTCTGAATCATTTGTTACTTCATTACTCAATTCATTTAAAGAAATTCATGAAGAATTAGATAGTATATCTCAATCTGTTCAAAGAGCAAGAATCTTAGGTCAATATAACTCAAATGATCTCCAGCAAAGAGTAGCATTTAGAAGAAATTTCTTAAATAAAGAACATGAAGCTTTAGGTGAAATATTATACGGGTTGGCTTCACATGGATTATTATCAAAAGCCAATTTTATCAAATTTTATGATTTTGTTGCTACATTTGATGTCGATGATTTATTTATCTTACATTTAGTTCCAGCTTTATTGTTTTATGTCTCCAAATTGAATAATTTAAAAGAAGAAGAGGTCAAAGAATTACATAGTCATTTATTGAAAGATTTGCATAATAAAGATCAAATTTATAAAGTTCCAGCCAAATTGTTGATTATCCTTGTGTTCTTAACATATTTCATTGATTGGTGTAAACAAAATTCAAAGAGAGTTGAACAATTTGATTTCGAAATTGCCATTGAATCACCAATGACTATTGCTGCTCATATTGGTGCTATTGAACAACTTTTGATCATAACTGCTGAAACAACAGACAATGCATTTGAACTTTTTTATGATTTAAGAGCATTATTAGAACAATATCTCCCAAGATTAGTACCGAAGAGAGTTTTGGATATTAATGAAGAAGAAACCAAAAAATTAAGATCTTCAAACTTGGATTCTACTTCAACAGTATATGTCATTACCAAAAATGTCAAAGTTTCAGATAATATCAAGACTCTGTTGACTTCAGTTTTACATGATTTTGTTCAAAGTTTCATTTCAGATGCTGCTTTCTTATTAATCAAAATCAAAGATGCCGAAGAAGATTCACTTTTATCAGGCGAAGACTCATTATTAGATGATATATCCAAAAAAGCTGATTTAGAAAGATTTTACCTTTCTGTATTTTATCTATATTCCAACAGAGAAGATCTTATTTCAACATTCTGGGAAGATCGTGAATCAAATGCATATGGTTTTATTGAATGGGCTTCAAAAGTTGATGATTTACTAATGAAGTCAACATTTTGTGTCATGATATCGGCATTGGCATCAGGGAGCTCAAACGCTAATCATGTTTATCATTTCATTGCTAGCTCAGAAAAGACACCATGGTCTTTAATTTTCACTCAATTGAATGCATATATTGAGAAAATCATCAAATTTGAACAAAATGGTGATGATAATGATTTAAGTGAGGAAATTATCTTATCAACCTCATCATTTTTCACATTGATCTATCAAGTTGCTTCAAATAATGATGTTGTGAAAGAGCTATTTGATGAATCCGTCTTGAACTGCATTTTCAATTTTATTAGATTAGATACACCATTAGTTGGTGCTGCTTTAAAACTTTTATCATCTTTAGTTTCAAGCAATAAAGCTAGAAAATCATTTATTTGGGAAAGATTAGATCTTTGGTTATTTTCACAAGCTTCAACACCTTTAAGGGACTCTTTCAGAAATTTATTAATTACATTCCCAGACGTTGTTGGATTTATTGACCTTCTTGAAGCTTTATTAAAACCATCAAATAAGTTTGGAACATATGAACTCCCATTTCCTGTCAATTTGGGATCATCATACAGAAAGCAAGGTATAGCTCCATACATTGAATTTTTATTAACTGATGTTTTCTACCATTCACCTGCTTTGTTTTTTTCAGAAAAGATGAGCTTACAGGTTCCAATTTTGAAAATGATTGAATACTGTTTGAATTCTTTTGATCCAAGCTTAATTTTAAATTCATTCCCTGCAGGTGCTGATTTGAATGCTGTTGTTGAAACTGCTGACTTCCCAACTTTTGTTCAGGCAAACCCTGCTCCAATTGCATTGAACTTCTTGTTTCAAGAAAAGGTTCATAAAGTGCTGTTTGAAATAGCTTCTACAGGTATCGATCAATTGAGTGATAAATTAGAAAATGAAGAACAAGTCAAACTTGTGGATCAAGCTTTAATAATCCTTGAAAAAGTTTTAGATTTAGAGGTCACATATACAGATGAGCTACTACCATTAATTTTGAAATCTACAACTTATTATATTCCAGGAAATTTTGGAACCCATGGTATTCGCTCATTCTATGATGCCATTTTATTTAATTTACCTTTGATTGCTCACATTTCATTATACGTTGGCTCAACACATTTAAGTATTGCTGATAAATCAATCAGATTACTTTCAAGATTCTCCAAATCATCACAATTTGGTTCTTCAAATACCAGTGGCTCTTTGATTGGTAAAAACAGATTATTGACTGTTTTGGAAAGTATTGATGAATCTACCAGAATTAAACATGCTTTTATCGATCAATTAGAAGCTGAAATCACTGATGAGATCGATCTGAAACTAAAGATACAGATCTTGAACTTCATCAACTCAAATTTATCATTATCATCCAAGTCATATACCATATCCCATTTCTTATTAGGGTTTGACTTGAAGAACAGTATCACACTTGGTGATTCTGAAACAGATACATTGATTGCATCAAAGACATCTGTGTTAAAGACTTTACTTTACATTTTAGAGTCAAGTTTACTCACAGTTTCAAATTACAACATAGATTACGCACCAATTAGACTTGCAGCAAGTGTTTTAGAAATTTTATTGAAATTATGTCGCAATTCAGCTACATCATCTTTGATTTTAGAATACATTTCTAATTATGATTTGTTGACTAAACTCTTGAATACACCAAAGGTTGATTTGAACACTTTATGGTCAAATACCAGATTTGATGGTTCTGATACCCAAAATAATTTCAGTTCAGGCCCAGGAATTGGTGCTTTATTATCATTTTTAAACCAAAGAAGTCTTGTGCTACAATATTTAAGTTTGGAACTTCATAGAACATCAGTTGAAGGCTCCATTTCTAAAACATCATCATATATTACCAAGTTGATCAGTGGAGAAGCAGGCTATGTTGGACCACCAAAAGTTTTGGCATTCTTAGATATACTTGAATTCAACTTATCAGAAGTTTCAAACCTTCCAGAAGAATTATTATTCTTCAAAGATGTTGATCTTAATATAAATTTAAACAAAATTCCATTATCATTGAATTCAAATGATAGTATTTTTGACTTGAAAGATATTGATTCATTATTAGATCTGAGCTTAGTTCAATCATGGACTCAAGGAACATATCATACTGATGATGATGAGGAATCAAAATACAATGCAGTTAATGAACTCAAACTGGAATTGAAAAGAGCAGATTCAAGATCTTCACAATCACTTGTTAAAATTCCAAAAACCATAAAGAGTGATCAAGCTGATGCTGAATCTGAAAGAAAATTGATCAAAGGTAGATTCACCAATTATTTAGCACATTTGAAATTTAAAGCATACCAACTTTCAGCTTTACACTCATGGGTTCAATTGATTCAAGTTGCAGTGACTGATGGTAAATTAGACCCAGTTCAAAGATCAAATTTCATTTTAGAAGTTTTCCAAACTGTCATTCCAAAAATTAATGATTATGTTGAATCAGATGTTTTATATGCTGAAGAATTAGTCTTCTTATGTGTTTCATTATATGATTTGTATCATAAAGATAGACAAATAATAGGAAAAGATGATTCCAATGTGTTGGATGGCTATGAAAGATTATATCCATTGTTCAGAGCTTGTATTAATGGTATTTTGAGTCCAATGTCAACTTTGTCTTTACGTTCAGATTTATATGTCTTAGCTAATAAATACCTAACATGGGTATTAGAACAACAAGTGGTTGCTAAAGAAATTTTAAAATCAATCAAATTATCTAGTGAAAGATTGATTACTGTTATCTGTAACGATGCTATTGGTGGTGAAGGCGCTACTAGAATCACTGGTCTATTGTTACTAGAATCATTATTCCAATTATCCAATATTAATCAATTGAATTTTGTCTTGAATACTCTTGTTAAAAACAATTTATTATTGTTATTAGTCAAATCAATTAAAAGAACAGATGAAACATTAACTTTGTCTCACGAAAATAAAATTACATTAGATTCATTACTTTATGAACTTACAGCTTTCAAAGCAACGTTAAGTTTCTTGATTCGTGTTGCTGAAACTAGACATGGTGCACAACAATTATTACAAGGTGAAATATTTCAAACTATTAAATCATGTTCATTTTTATTAATTGATCCAGATCTTGGTTTAGAATTAGTCTTTGATGAAGCTACTGTTCAAACATCTACATTTGTTAGAGTCAATTTGAACTTGGATACACCTTTAACTTTCAATGATTCAAGTAATGGTGTTTCTTTGTTTGAGTTATTAGTTCCAACTTTCCAATTAGTTGCAGCTATTTTATTAAGTACTAGCTCAGAAAACAAACCGGTTATTCAACAGGTTCATAAACTTTTGTTACATTTCAGAAGATTGATTGTTGGTGTATTGAAAAGAGATGTTTTAGCAGAATCTAAATCAGACCATGAAGTTTACAAGACAAGTGGTGAAACATCTGGTTTAAAAGAATTAGTTAATTTATTTGTCCTTTTGAGCACACTCACAGGATTTGACGGTGAAGATGCCGCATTTTAATTTTCAAAACTTGTATAATAGAAAGATATAAATAAAAAGTTACGATCCAAATTTACAAAAGACGTTACCACATGTAGTGAATTAATTCCTCAATTTATTATATATATTAATTTCCAATTAAGATTTAAGTAACTAATCAACATTATAGACTTAAATCTTTGAATTTGTCAATCTTTGCCTTCAAATCATCAGAATTCTTTTCAACCCATTTCAATGAGTCTAAGTGAGTATTCAATAATTTAACGATTTGATCCAAAGAGCTATCATCTTCCTTTTTAGTATCAGAAGAGCCATTTAGACCATTTGTTTTATTGAAAGAATCACTAACATCATTTATTTCTGTTATTAATGATGACAAGTTTGTACCCAAGAAACTTAAATTATCATCAAGTAATTCAGCTGTACGATATGCTTGTTCTCTTTTTTGATCATTTGTAATAACTGAAGAATCCCTAGATTGTGAACCTGATGCTAATACATCAGATAATAAATTATTTGCTTTAACTTCATAATTATCAAGGAAATTTTCTAATTCATCTTGTTGTCTTTCAATATATAATAAAGCTTGATCAATTTGACTTTGTGTCTTCTCAGCTGCAACGGTATCTGTATATAATTGACTTATTTTTTCACCACCATCAACTAATACACGATCCCATTCATTAACTTTTTTAGAATATGTTTCAAATGATGCAGATGAGTTTGACAATTGATTTGTCCATTTTGTGATGACATCTTCTAATGTTTTGTTGTTTAATGATACAGGTTTAGGTTCAACAGTTTTAGCATTTTCTTTCTTTTCATCACGATCTATCACACTATTTGTAAATGTAACAGATTTTTTATCATCAGTTTTTTCATCTTTTTTTTCTTCAGTTTTAGCAGCACCGAATGAAAACCCACCGGCTGGTTTATCATCTTTTTTTTCTTCAGGTTTAGTAGCACCAAATGAAAATGCAGGTTTATCATCTTTCTTTTCTTCAGTTTTTGTAGCACCAAATGAAAATCCACCAGCTGGCTTATCATCTTTCTTTTCTTCTGGTTTAGCAGCACCAAATGAAAATCCACCAGCAGGTTTATTATCCTTCTTTTCTTCAGTTTTTGGAGCACCAAATGAAAAGCCACCAGCTGGTTTATCATCTTTTTTCTCTTCAGCTTTTGGAGCACCAAATGAGAAACCACCAGCAGGTTTATCACTAGAGGCATTAGCACCACCAAATGAAAAAGCTGGTTTGTTTTCCTTTTTATCATCTGTAGAAGCATTAACATTATTATTTGATTGAGTTCCACCTAAAGAAAAAGCAGGTTTACTTTCTGCAGGTTTTGAAGCAGCAGCACCAAATGAAAAAGCAGGTTTATCATCAGTCTTTGGGGCACCAAATAAACCTCCAGCAGGTTTATCATTAGTATTTGTAGTTGTAGTAGAACCACCAAATGAAAAAGCAGGTTTATCATCAGTCTTTGGAGCACCGAATAAACCTCCAGCAGGTTTATCATTAGCATTTGTAGTTGTAGTTGAACCACCAAATGAAAATGCTGGTTTATCATCAGTTTTAGCAGCAGTTGATCCAAAAGAGAAGCCACCACCTAATGTTGGTTTATCATCTTTTTTTTCTTCTGGTTTGGAAGCGGCAGCACCAAAACTAAAAGCTGGTTTATTATCTGTTGAAGCACCACCAAAGCTAAAAGCTGGTTTATTGTCTGTACTTGGAGCGCCAAATGCAGGAGCAGCTGATTTGTTTTCAGCAGGTTTTTGACCAAATGAAAATCCAGAACTTGCACCACCAGCTGGAGCACCGAAACTAAATCCACCAGTACTTGGTTTACTTGGTGTTGATCCAAATAATGAACCTTTTCCACTATCACTTGTTTGCCCAAATAATGATCCGCCAGCTATAGAACACGTTAGTATAGATCCCCAAGAAAAACATAACAATTGAGATACTCACTATTAGACATCTTTAACTAATGTTGTTGTGATTCAATGGCTTATTTTTAATGTTGTTGTTGATGTTTTCCTAATTTGATCTCTATATAATGTTTTTGAATTTTCTGAAATGCTTATGTCATCAAAATCAAAATCAGATTATATAATCCAATATAGATTACATAATACAAATCCCGGATATTTCAAGATTCGCGGCCGTTTTTTTTCAAATTTACCCGGTGTTGATTTTGTTTTTCCTTCAGTTATCTGAAAGTAATAGCGCGAGTTGCACATAAAGCCGTGGAAAGTACTTCAGTTATCGGCAGTTGGTAGAAATAAGTACGCCATATTATGCTTAAATGTACTTGAAGGTGTCTTACAACCCTATAGACTGATCCGTAATTTTCCTAAAAGCATTGTCAATTTCGAACTCCATTTACGATATTATAAATTTATATAAAGTGTGGAAAAGATGAAATAATTTTTTTTTCAACGTCCTTATCTCATCTCTTAGATCTATAAACTTAAGCTTTTCAGCCTCACAATCGTTTTAAAACACTTACAAATCAATCTCATGTCACACGTCGCTATTTTCATTACTGATTACGCTGAACCATATATTGAAAAATTTGGTAGTTTTTACGATCAAAGTCGTGCTGTTTTACACTCTGCTGGTTTTGAAGATGATATTAAAGGTTATGATATAATCAAATCTCAATTCCCAACTGATGAAGAATTCCAAAATATAAAAGCCATTTGGATTACAGGTTCAAGATCTGATGCTTTTGCAAATGATGAATGGATTTTAAAATTACGTGATTATTTACAAAATGTTGTTTTACCAAGTTCTGTTCCAGTTATTGGTATTTGTTTTGGTCATCAAATTATTGGTAGAGCATTAGGTGCTGAAGTTGGTAGAAATGAAAAAGGTTGGGAACTTGGTGTTACTAATATTTCTATTAATCAAGATCCTGAAGTTCAAGAATTATTTGGTGATGTTAGATCAAAAGATTTTGAAATTTTAGAACTTCATCAAGATATTGTTAAAAATGTCCCAGAAGGTTATAAAAATATTGGTAGTAGTAAAGATACTGAAACTCAAGGTCTTTACAAAAAAGGGAAAGTATTAAGTTTCCAAGGTCATCCTGAATTTATTCAAGATTGTGCTGCTGATACTTTAGATAAGATCCATAATAGAGGTCAAGTTAGTGATGAATATTATGAAAATGCTAAGAAAAGATTAGAGGAAGTTAGGCATGATGGTGTCGATTTAACTAAAGTCATTATTAAATTTATCAATGAATCCTCAACTTGATCAAACGGTTCATGACACCAGGTCTGCAACTCATCATCCCATGCATTTATGTATTATTATACTATTACACTATAGATAGTCATTTTCAATTTGTTATTTTTTCTACGTCATAGAAGTGGTTTTGTTTTAGTTCTCATTAATAATTAATTTAATTCATTTCATTTCATTTGTAATTCCAACTTCGTTTACATAAAATCATAAATAACGACGCTTCTTCTATATATTATATTTGTAAATTAATTGTTTGTCCTTACTCTTTCTAAATGATCCAAAATCTTATCATATGCTTGATTAATATCACCATCTTTTTCATCATCAGATACAAAACTATCAGCATCACTTCCAGAATCTGCTTCATCATCTGAAACAATTGTTTTCCTATCTGATAAATTAGATTTAGTATTTCTTAAAGTTTCCATAAATAATGGAGGTGAATGATTATCTGCTGATGAAGAATTATTATCTTTTCTTTCATAAATTTTTTCTAATGGAATTCCTTCTTTTTTAATTGAATCTAAAACTTCAACAACATTATTTAAATCATTAGTTTGTAATAAAATCTCTCTAAATTTTTCACCACTTATATCTTGAATATCATCAATATTTGGTTTAACATTATTTTCTTCCATTTTATTTTTAATATAATGATTTAATTTTAAAAATGAAGCTTCTTCTTTTAATTTATTACTATCTTTAGCTCTTGCTCTTTGTTCATCTTTAATTTCTTCAGCATCAACATGAATTTCACCAGCTTGTCCAGTATTAGTAACACCAAATGGTAACAATTCATTATGATTATGTTCTGAAAGATATGGAGATTCATTAATCACTGCACTACCTGTTCTTTTCATCATTGGTGGAACTAAATATTTAGTTGTATCAACACCATATTTAGCAGATTTTTTACCTAATAATGATAAACCTTTTTCAATTGATGCATCAATAAAACAAAATCTAATTAAAGTTTCTTTACCATCAGTACTTAATTTCCCTGAAATTCTTAATTTAAATAATTCATCAATAGTTTCATGAATTCTATCTCTAAATTTAACAGCTTTTGTAAAGAAACTTTCAATTAATTTTGGATCTGGATTCCCACCATCTGATAATAATAAATGAGATAATTCTTCTTGTAAACCTTGTAATTCTTTTGGATCAGATTGTTTCCCATAAATTTGATGTTGCATATTACGCACGGTGTATAAACCAATAGTTTCTTTAAATTTTGGTGCAATTTCATCATAATTTAAATCTAATGTAATTAAAGATTTTGAAATTTTGAGAGCATTTGTTAATGCACTTGCAGCAACTGAATCAAGATGATTCCCAATTAATGAAAAATATGTTAATGATTTACAAAATGGAATCAGTTCAGCTAGGGCAACAATGTTTTCTGGTTTTAATTTATTATTATCCAAGTGTAATCTTGCTAATTTTGGATATAATGGTAAATTTTCAGTTAAACTTGTTAATAAATCTGGGAAAATTTTTTCATTATTTGATAAATCAATATATCTCAAGTCTTTAAATTTAGCAAAAGTTGAAATTAATTCATCTAATTCTCCATTATCATTTTGTAAATTTGTTGAATTTAATGATAAAAATTTTAAATTTGAATCAGAAACATCATCTGTTGAAACTCTTTTATTAAACCCACCTAATTTCCCATTTAAATCATTAAAAGCTAAATCAATTCCAATAACATTTTGTAAATTAACATTTTCTGCAATAATATCACATTGTTCTTTAGTTAAATCATTAAAAGCAAGTCCAATTCTACTTGTTTTAATTGAAATACCCATTTCAAATAAATTCTTACATTCTTCATTACTCATCTTGGCACCACTAATAACTAATTCTTCAATACCTTTTCTTGACATTAATGCAGCATTTAATAAATTCCAATTCATATCAGATCTATCATTCATTGAACATTCCATTCTTATGATATTCGATTGTGCTTTGGAAGGTTTTTGAACATTAGTTGATATATTTGGACATTGTGTAAGGTCTAATCTTGATAATGTATGATTTTTAGATAAGAACCAACATAATAATTTCCAACCCATTTCATCTATGGGGGTATTTCTTAAAGTTAATTTTTCTAATTCCTTTTTATGTAATAAAGAACTTAATATAATTCTAAACATTTCTGATGATAATGCAACACCATCTAATGAAATACATAATATTGGTGCTACTGATACAAAATCTGAAAATGTTAAAACTTCAACAAGTGAAGGTTTTGGATTTCTTAATTGCAGTAATGAAATTGGATCAGTACTACCTGGTGTGATTTGTTTTAATGTTGCAGGGATTGGTAGAATTTCTCTTAAATGACAACATCTTGTATATAAAACATCCAATGGAACTTTTGAAGATTCTTTAGAATTAATTGAATTTTCATCTTCATCTTCATTAATATCATCTTCAATTTGTTCAGAATTTTTATCAGTTGATAATAAAGAAGCAGAACTCTTGTTTTTACGAATCATTGGTTTATCAATATTAATTTTGGAAGCATCAGTACTAACTTGAACTTCATCTTCATTATTTGTAATAATTCTTTTCAATTCATTTGGTGCAGCTTTTGCTCTAGCTTCGGCAGCAGCAGCAGAAGCATTAACACTAATAGAATGTTTTTGAGCAGCTTTCTCATTATCTTCTTCTTCTTCATTTTCATGATCTTCTTCTTTTATAACAGGTTCAATGTTTTTTCTTGCTTTTTCACTTTCTTCTTTCCTTTCAGTTGGTGAAATTATTTTCAAATGACCAGAACCACCAACAACAATCCCACCACCAGGATTATTTAACAATTGTTTACGTTCAGCTGCAGTTAATTTATGAATCACTATACTACCATCTTTTAATATTTCAACTTCACCTTTCCTTGGAGATCTTGATGGAATTTGTTGAGGTGGATCATTCATGAAAACTGGTACATCAAATGCAACTCTTTTTAAATTTGGTAAATTTTCTAAACCTGGTATTGTTATTGGTGTTTGTTCTGATAATTGTGATTTACATTGTTTTGATTTTGATAATTTATTATTATTATCATTTGATGAAGAAATTGAATTAGTCCTACTTATACTTTGTTCACTATTACTTTGATGATGACGACGTAAAAATCCACCAATCTTGGAAGAAGTTGAAGATTGTCCAATATTTGTTGTTGAAGATTGTGGTAATGAAGTTTCAAATTTTGAATCATAAATAATTGCAGGTGGTAAAGAAGAAATATCAGGATGTGCAGGGATAGGTCTACCTAAACAATCAACAGATCTTCTCTTGTTTTGATGAGTTGTAGAAGGTGGTGAACTAATTGATGAAGTTGATGGTCTTCTTGATGATCTTTCTAAATCTTGATGTAATTTATCAATACCTTTAGATTTATAATATTTTAAAAATTCCTCTAATTTAGGGTCAATAATACCATTTGATGATGATTGAGATAAAGATCTTGATCTTGTTATATTTCTCTTTGAGTTTAATTCATTTGATATTGATTGATTTGTTGTAGTTGTAGTTGTGGTAGTAGTATCATTTGGTGCAATACTAACATCTGAATTACTATTGTTTTGTGAGTTACCAATCTGATTCAATTTATCTTTTGAATTTGATTTCCTAGAGAATAAATTTCTGAAAAATCCACCTTTTTTCTTTTCAATTGGATTATCAACTTCAGATAATGATTTTGACCTACTTAATACATGAAGATTTTCTCTTGAATCTGATGGTGATTGATCTTTGATAAGATGTGCATGTAAATTATGTTCTAATTTATGATCATGATGGTTTGGTTTATTATTTTGTTGATTTTGTTGTTGTTGATTATTGGTGTTGATATTTGGTTTATATTTTGACATTCGATCATCTCGTAAAAACCAATCAATCTCACCATTGGAAACACCTTGATCCACACCTTCTTCAGGGAGCTTATCAACCATGATGATTGTGGAATTGAGCTTGTAACTAGCAAGTGAATTTGAAACTCTAAGATGAGTTACTTATGACTTCTTTCAATATTTCTATCTTTTGTTGATGTACTATGCTGTATTGTCCCTTTAATTGAATATGGGGATTACCAGAGAATGATAATTAGCAAATTGATATAACCGCTGTATTGAGCCTGTGATATAGACCTTGATAATGATAGCACTGTGATAATGTAACTAATACCCCTTTTAAATATTGAATATATCTGATTTAATTAAAGGGTCAGTTTTTTAACACTGGTTGCATTGTTTTTATATTTTTATTGAATTTCTTGATTTCTGGATTTTTGGTTTTTTAAAGAAGATGTCATTTGATTTTAATGTATGGTGTGTCGCGAACCAGGTTGTGCTAGACATACTTTAAATTAATCACTATGGAAAGATTGATAAAGAGTAAGAGGATTGGTGGGTTATTATTGGATTTGAAGTGTGATGGTAGAGTACATTATAATGAGTTAGTATATATTAAAGTGTTGTGTTGATTAAAGCTTCCAGGGTTCAATTAAAGGTCTTGTTTTATACTCGGGGATTAATGATTGTGTGATTTTCATGCATAACTATTTATGAGAATTTAAATCATCATTGGACCTTGACTACACTAAACTATATATGATATAATGTAATATATATGACTATATATAATGATTCTATAATGATTCTAATGCTAATGTATATGTTTTCACTTCTTACGACCTAATAATCCACGAACTTTTTTCTGCAGACGTAATTCCATCTTTAATCTATCCATATCTTTAACTTTATCCCAATTTATACCTTTATTTATATCTTTATTTAATTGAACCCCTAGTTTAGATAATTCAGATTCAGGAGATTTAAATAATTTTATACTTTGATCAATTAAATTTTTAACATCTTCATTTGTCATTTGGGTATGAGGATAATGTAATAATAATGATAAAACTTCTCCATTATCTTCACATTCTGCTAAATTTAATTTAATTTTTAATAATTGAATTATAATAACAAATGGAATTAATTTACATAAATCATAATCAAAACAAATAAATTTATCCAAAATTTTAATTGTGTTTTGCATACCTAATTCTCTTAAAAATAATAATCTTACCCATCTAATTAACCAAATTTGACTTTCAATTTTATGTGTCTTTATTAAAAAATCATATAATGAATCATCAATTAATTTTAAATATTTGTTGAAAATGGAAATACACCAACCAATTAAATTATCTTCAATATAAAAATTGGGTACAACACTTAGCATTAAACTTGTAAAAATATTAAAAGTTTCAATTTTTATCTGTGGATTCTGAGGATCATCTTTATAAAGTTCTAAATAAATTAATCCGCAAATTTCATGGAAACCTTGCTTGTAGGGGGTAAAATTATTATAATTATATAAAATTGTTAAAATATCTTGTTTTATATCTTCATTTTGGAAAATTGAATCAATAATTAATCTATCAACATCCATTTTAATAACATCTAATATAGAATCAACATCTTCACTACTATTATAACCAGTTGATAATGGATCTATAGTGACTGATTTTTTCAATAAATCTTGTTTTAAATGTGATGGGTCCTCATCTTCTTCTTTAATTGGTGTAGGAGTTGTGGGTATTGGTTGTAATTCATTCTCCACAAATTCAACTTTATATGAATTCAGACAAACAGTCTTTCATAGTTGTTAGTTATATGTTCCAGTGCATATATGATTATTCACATACCTTCCATAGGAAACTTCTTGAAAAATGTTCACATTGATCATTATATTCATTTTTAAGTACAGCAACTTTTAAATCTCTCAAGAATGGATATTTTTGTTTTGTAATTCTATATTGGCATATTAGTAACCATAGAACTTTAGATATTAATCATTAATACCACAACATACCTTATCTTTTCATCAATATTCATATTCTAATAATAGACTGAAGCTTTCAAAAAGTATTCAATATTTTCCCAATCTTGTCCATATAGAATTTAGAATTTTAGATACCGCTATTACCAAAGATCAAAGACAAACAACCGAAAATCAAAATACCAAAAGAACAAATTCGCGAATTAGAATATTATAAATAGTACCTGTCACATTACGTAATCATTTCTGAAGTCCTGATCACATGACTGTGGTGGTAAATTATGTTTCATATTTTAAACATTGATCAGTGATACTTATAAAAGAATAAGCCACATAAGTATAAAATTACACCCATTAATATAAAGGGTCCACTCCACTCGCTTAAACAATCCCTTAGAAGTAAACATCTCCACAATTAATACATTATACAACTGAAAAAGCACTGAATATTGAAAAACCGCGCGCACTCCGATCTTTAAATTACATGGGAAAAAACAAAAATTTATGGGTGAAACAGTTCCGACCGGGCTAAGCGCGCACTTTAAAACTGAAGAAAAAGTCACTTGTGGTCGGAACTCAGATGCTGTGATTATTCAACATCAACTGAGTAATCGATCATGAAAACCATCAACAGATACAAATTGAAGTAAAGGATTATAGTATACTTAAACCAGAGAAAGGTGATATTTGGCACTCATAATCAAGGTAAAACATTGAGATATTAATATCAGTTATTATTTATTACAATTTCAAATTCCAATTATAATTATATCTTGATAAGGTTTTTCAATATTTATGAAAAGTATATTGGTTAAGACAAAAATAGTATAACCGCCCAACAATTAATTCAATAATATCAACAACAATTATCATCATATAACAATAATAATATCAAAATGGATCCAACAAGAGCTCCTGATTTCAGACCACCTTCTGCTAAACCTGCAAATGACCCACCATTAGCCCCTTCATCTCAAATCCCAAAAGCTGCTCCAATTCAACCTTATGTATTAGCTGATTATCCAAATAAAATTGATGCTCCAATTAAACCTCGTCAACATAAACATAATAGTCATCATCATCATAAATCTCATCATCAATCTACAACAACAAGTCAAGCTTCTTCTATTGTTCAATCTCCAAATTTAAGTGATACAAATACTCCAAGATCTTCAATTCCAAGAATACCTGCTGAATTTCAACCTTTATCAAGTGCAGAAAATTCTTCATCTGAAGAAGATGATCATATTGATAAGTTTACCCTAGACGAATCAAAAGATGATAACAACAACCTAAGTATCTTGGATGGAATTCAATCTTATCAAACTGCTGATTTAGAAGAAGTTCCTCATGGTGTTGTAAGACAAGCTAAAAAATTAGAAAGTTATGAATTCCCAACTCATAGATTAATTCCAAAATTGAAAAATCCAAATAAACATCCATTAGTTATAGTTGCTTGTGGTTCTTTTTCACCAATTACTTATTTACATTTAAGAATGTTTGAAATGGCATTAGATGCTATAAGAGAACAAACAAGATTTGAAGTTGTTGGAGGTTATTATAGTCCTGTTAGTGATAATTATAAAAAAAGAGGTTTAGCTTCATCATATCATAGAGTTAGAATGTGTGAATTAGCTTGTGAAAGAACAAGTAGTTGGTTAATGGTTGATGCATGGGAATCTTTACAACCTACATATACAAGAACTGCAAAAGTTCTTGATCATTTTAATGAAGAAATAAATATTAAAAGAGGTGGTATATTAACTTCTGATGGTACCAAGAGAGGTGTTAAAATAATGTTATTAGCTGGAGGTGATTTAATTGAAAGTATGGGTGAACCAAATGTATGGGCTGATGATGATTTAAATCATATTTTAGGTCGTTATGGTTGTTTAATTGTGGAAAGAACTGGTAGTGATGTTAGATCTTTCCTGTTATCTCATGATATAATGTATGAACATAGAAGAAATGTTCTTGTCATCAAACAATTAATTTATAATGATATTAGTTCAACAAAAGTGAGATTATTTATAAGAAGAGGAATGTCTGTTCAATATTTATTACCAAATAGTGTTATTAGATATATTCAAGAACATGGGTTATATATTAATGATCCTGAACCTGTTAAGCAAGTTTTAGATTCAAAAGATTAATTTAATTGCTAAAATTAAATTTAATAGAAGTGGGAGATTAAGAGAAGATGTGAGTTTTAGTTTTGTTCTTGGCTGTGTGAATGAATTATAGATTAATTTTATTTTTAATTATTGTGTTTTTTAATATTGATGTGTACAAGTTAAGTTTATTTTGCAGTTGATGTCGAAAACAAATGTAGTCATCAATATTCACCATGATCCTAGTTCATAAGATATATTAATATAAAAGTCTAGAACTTCATGTTATCAATTAATGTTGATCTTTAAACGATCATCTGTCTTAGAGTCTTAGCTATTCCACCATGAATGTCAAACAAAATTATAGTCTAGATCCTTAAAACTTCCATAAACCCTTGATTATCACATATATACGTCATATTCAATAGCTATATAATCACTAACGGTATTTAGAACTCCATACATTTGATATATAACGTCTTGACACACTAACCGTTTAATCTTATGTTAAAAGTATATCTTTATCAGTTCTAGAAATGTATATCTCGGGTTATGAAAATTCTTTTCATGTAACCCCAGGTATGATACATACCGTTATACCGTATACCATACTTTATAACTTCATAGCCACTCAACCAATTTTAACTGTTATACATTAAACGGTTGATTATAATACTTTATCTCTATGATTCATAAACTTTCTTTTGGAAAAGGGATACCGGGATACCATGAAAAGATCAATTTCATTTCCTGTTCAAGTAATCCAAGAGGTTACCGTATATGTCAAATGGGTTATGGAGCTATAGCAAAAAAACGTTTTCAGCAAATTTGTTGCATATGTGTCAATGTTCAAACTTTATTAGTATGAAAGCTATATAGTACTCCTATCAAAACCATGATCTAGAATTGAAAAGTTTTATAGTATATGGTGTCCTTACAAGATTTTGTTCTAGTATTAAGGTTAAGTATACACGTAGTTAAAGTTTAGGTCAAATCTGGAAGAGGTCCTACTTGGATAATAAACTTTTAGGTTTAGATGAACGTCATAACAATTCAAGTAGACGTAAGATTGAATTAAACATAAACTATGTACCTTAAATTAAAAAGTTTTCAATCTAGTTTTACTCTTTATGGTAAAGAATTTGATCGAATCAAGGGGTCAAGGGGTACACTAGATATATGTTGAAAAAAAAACTATATAAGAACCATTAAATCCCTTCTTTTTGATAAGTCTTGTTGAATTTGATATAATAGAATATTAAACAATTAAGGAATTCATTCTTTTATCAAGTAATACTTCCAACTAGTATCCATTCCCTTCAAACAAAGTTCAAGTTATATTTAATCAAGTTATATCCAAGTTCAAACTATATCAAATCAGTTCAATAAATTACTAGACAATATGCAATTCTCAACAATCTTCACTGTTTCAACTTTTGCTTTATCAGTTTTATCATTACCAGCTCCAGAAATTGTTACTGAAACTGAATATCACACTGTTACTGTTAGTGGTTCATCATCATCATCAACTGGATCAATTCCAAATGGTATTCCAACTGGTGAATTTAATTCAACAAATGGTTATAATTCAACTCAACCAGGTTTGAACTCAACAGTTTCATTATCAAATGGTACTTCAAATGGTACAGCTGATGCTCAATCAACTGCTTATAAATTGATTTAAAATGCAGTGTGATGTTTATATTTCAATTCTTTGATCATCATGATCTATTGTTTATTCTTTGTTCATTTCTTACTTTTGTACAAATAAATCATTTCAGTTATGTTCTCTGAGATGAATGGCCATTACTTTTGTTATATATATTATTTAGTTTGTTATAGATAACCGGTTATTATAGATTTAATTTAAAAAGTTGTAGTACTTGATCAACTCTATATGAGAATAAAATTTCATTTGTCCGAACACGTCCGATTCCCGAGATTTTCTTCCTAGTTCTAGACAAGACATAAACGTATCCATTAAACCTAGGTATAAAACTACAAAGCTATCAAATCAAATCAATTGTAATACATTAAAGCGTAAACTAAACAAGTCATGTTCAACAGACTTATTTTTTACCTTGGTTAGCAACAGCAGCGGCACCGGCAGCAGCAGCTTCTGGATCCAAGTAGTAAGATGGTTTAGTTGGTTTTAATTGAGCATCTAATTCATAAACTAATGGAATACCAGTTGGGATGTTTAAACCAGCAATTTCAGAATCAGAAATGTTATCTAAATGTTTAACTAAACCTCTTAAAGAGTTACCATGAGCAGCAATGATAACAGTTTTACCTTCTAATAATTGCTTAGCAATAACATCTTGCCAGAATGGTAAAAATCTATCAATAACTAAAGCTAATGATTCAGTTTTTGGTAAAACAGCTGGATCAATTAAAGCATAACGTTCATCATTAGCTTGAGAAAATTCAGAATCATCTTCAATAACTGGTGGAGGAACATCAAAAGATCTTCTCCAAGTTTGGAATTGTTCTGGACCGTATTGTTCTAAAGTTTGAGCTTTATCTTTACCTTGTAAAGCACCATAATGACGTTCATTTAATCTCCATGATCTTTCAACATCAATGTATGAGTAACCAGCATGTTCTAAGGCAATGTTAGCGGTTTGAATAGCTCTGGTTAATCTTGAAGTGAATAAGATGTCTGGTTTAATACCAGATTCTTTTAATAATTCACCAGCTCTTTTAGCTTCTTTTCTACCAACATCAGATAATGAAACATCAACCCAACCAGTGAATAAGTTTTTTTCATTCCATTCGGATTGACCGTGACGTAAAAGAATTAATTTTGGCATTGTGTTATAAAATATTTAATTGAGTTATCAATTGTGGTGTAGGATAAATCAAATTCAATTGAAATTTTAGAAATTGGGAAACTTGTCACTTTATATAAATCCGTGAATTTCGTCAACAGGTGCATCAATTATGAAAAAAAAGTGGAAACTGGTGATCAGGAGAGTGTTGGTGGTGTGGTGTGGACCGTTAGGGCTTGACAACCTTATCACGTGTTACCAGGAATATACACGTGATATTTGAAATAATATTGATTACGTCATGGAGATTGTTGATTTTTATATAATTCGCGAATCGCGAACGTCAATATAAGTACTAAACACGAACTACAATAAGCATTGAACATTCTGGTTCAGTTTTCAAGTCAATTGATAAAGAAATTCTATTAGTAACTGGTATTCAACATGGTGGAACTTGAGGATGTCACTAATACACTGATTTTAACTGGTATCTCTTTGGAGAATTTGGAAAATAATCAATTCATTGCTGATTTACAACAAGAAATTGTTTCAAAAATATCAAATGATGATTCAGATTTTGTTCAATTTGTGGTATTAAAGACTTTTAGAAGAATTTTAATCATTTTCAATAATAAAGTATCAAGTATAGATCTTTATAAACATTTCAAAAATTCAAGAAATGATTTTAAAGCTGGTTATTCATTACATGACTATGCAAATTTTAAAATTGAAGATAATTCATTAGAATTACCAGATAATAGTCGAATGTTTTTAATTTCTCCACCAGCTTCACCACCGATTGATTTTGATTATGATCGGGAAGAAGAAGAACCAAATAAGACTCAAATTTATACACATGAAGAATTAAAAGAAATATTTGAAAAAAATCAAAAAAATTTAGAAGATATTGTTCATGAAAATATGAAGACAACAAAATATTCAAATAATGAATCAAATAATCAACAAAGATCAATTATGGATTTTGAAAAAGAAATTGTACTTAATGATAGTAATGATGATACAAAACCTAAAATTATATTAAATCCAATAAATGGTGAAAATGATCATTTGATTGGTAAAGCTATTCAAAGTTTTAGAACAAGTTTACCACCAAAATCTGTATTTGATGAATTTGATGATGATATTATAGATGATGGTGATTATAGTTGAACAAATTGTCAATATACTACAACAAGTTTTTGATTCTTGATATGCATTACTTCATTAATTAAACAATTATAAATAAGATGAGTTAATAGATGTGATTTTATATGCAAAAAAATGACAAATATGGAAATCTATCATGTTCTATATGTATATAATGTAAAAAAAGTGAACAAAAAAAGGTAATATAAAGAAATTAAACCAACATCTATAGAATTAAGGATGATTAAAACCAACAATCAAATCCAATAATTAAAACTTAAAACTCCAAAAAAACAACATCCAAAAGGTATAATAAAAACAATATTAATATTCAACATCAAAAAATATAAATAAAAATCCAACATTCTTTTAACAAAAATCATTATTAAATCATGGTACAAATTTGTAAATAATAAACATTCAACAACACAACTTCATTATTAAATATATGAAATTATATCTCAATATGATCGACATTATAAATTCAAAATTCTCACATCTTTGTTTACCGAAAGGAAACAATCCCGTTAACATTCAACATCGATACATCAACATTCCACATCAACAAAACAATACCATTTGATCCGCAAATGTATGCAAGTATAACATTTTATATTCAAAGGCGGTTAAAATTCCAAGTTCAAATAACTTTCAACCTTTCAAAAACATTTCAAGATTCCAAGACAATACATTTCAATTTTTAGGGTTTAGTGATTATGATCTCAATGGTATGACGGAATAAACCCACCATTAACAGCAGCAGCATTAACAGCATTATTTGTATTCAATTCTTTCCCAAAATTTTCAAAAGATAAATTAATTAATTTTGTAACAAAATTTAAATCAGGTTGAGATTTTTCTAATTCAGATAATAATTTAATCCTCGCATTTTCAAAAAAAAATCTTTGTTCAGAATTGAAAAATTCCATTAAATCAATATTTGAAGGATGTTCTAATTTTGGTTTTTGTTCTTGATCTTGAACTGATGATTGTTGTGATTGATTTGAATCTTGTTGTTGTAATTGTTGTGCTTGTTGTTGTTGAGGAGTTGGGATAACCATGTTTGTATGTGGTGGTAATAATGGATTTTGTTGATTATGAGCAGTATAATTATTTAAACCACTTGGAGGACCAATTGGGGTGGTTTGATAATAAGGATTGACATTATTTGTATTTGATGGTGTTGATGAATTGGTAGTTTGAGGTTGAACTTGTTGTTGTTGTTGATTTGGTATTGGACCACCTTCTGGATAAATATTAACAACTGCATTTCCATTCAAATGAACTCCGTGATTATTTAAAATACTATTCGGACCAAAACCTGTATTTCTATTTCCTTGTGCTTGTGCTTGTGATGGTGTTGATGGTGTTTGTTGTTGTTGTTGCGGTTGTTGTGGTTGTGTTTGTTGAGGTTGAGGATATTGGAAATTCATTGATTGAGAATAAGGTAATTTATTACTTGGTTTCATTGGTACACTATTAATATTACCAGCATTCCAATTTGATAAATCTGATGTATTAAAACTTGCTTGTGGTATTAAACCTGGTATTTGAAATTGATTGGGTATATTCATTTGATTTTCTTGATTCATATTACTTGGATAGATATAATCACCAGTTGGAGGAGGAGGGAATAATGGACGATGTTGTTGAGGTAAGAATTGTTGTTGATATTGTAAAGGTTGTTGAGGGTATTGTTGTTGTTGATATGGATGGTGTGATAAAGTTGAAGGATGTTGTAATTCATCAGCATCATGAATTGAAGGAGAATTACTTGAACTTTCATCATCTTCAGATTTAAAATCACGATTTGATCTTAATTTTTTCCTTTGTAAGAATTCATATTTATAGTATTCACATAATGAAGTTTTTTCATTAATCATTAATTTATCATTATGTCTTTCTAAGAATCTATCAATCCAATTTTTACCAACTTTGAAAAAGCTTTCATTTTCTGGTTGTTGTTGTTTATCCATATATTTTGTTTTTAATAAATCTTCACATATGACCAAGATTTCCTTTTTACTTGGGATTTGTGAACTTTTCTTTAATAATTGATTAATTCTTTCAATAATGATTAATTCTTCATCATTTGTAAATTTTTGTTGTTTTTCATGTGAAGTTCTAGTGTTTTTAAAACCATGAATTCTTCTTGATAAAGTAGTCCTACTAACTCTATATTTATTTGCAATTGAATTTATGGAAGCGGTTTTATTATTTTGAGCTTCTTCAATAGCTTGTTTAAACCGTTCTTCACGATCATTGTACTCTTTCAATTTCTTGTCAGTGAACATGATGAAGTATTGAGAAAGAAGAGTGAGTATAAAACTTGATAAACTTTTGTATGTGTTTTTTTCTGATAAACGGGTACTTTTTCTAACCTTTGAGCACACTTAAATGTTGAGGCTTTTGGTACTTTTAATGATCTTCAGTATATGTTTGGAAAATGAACAACGATTGATGTGTGATGTCAACGGTGGAAACTTGAAAGATCTATAACAACCAGGAACGTAACAGCAGCAGCTTCTCTTGATATTTGTAAATATGTGGAGGAACCTTCAATAATATAGTAACTGGGAAACTTTTGTAACTTGATGACGGATAACTTGTTTGGTATTAACTTGAACAATGAGACGGGCTTCCAAAAGAATGAACAAGTTTTAGAAAACGGGCAGGTATGCTTGACAATATATTAACAGAGAGATGAACCAACAAACTTCACCAAAACTGGTATCGCATCCTATTTATGCATTTGATCAAGTGGACAATAATAACACACCACAAAACAATTATTGAAATTTCTATTGATGATATCGTACAATAACTCTAATCTTATGTATACCAAACGTACAAACTAAACATAAAAAGAACTTTTTGCAGACCGTAACATAAGTATTATTAAGCCCCCAAGGTCATCACAATTAAACTTATCAGCAGCTTTGTATGCATCTCGAATCTATCCATTCTATCCTTCCCACTTTAAAACGTATTTATTCATGTGTATGATCATGTAACTTGAGGTTCATTGCAATAGAAATTTGAGATCTAGAGGGGCCTAGAGCATTGAAAATCACCAGTTCAACTACTCAACTCCATGTTTTAAACTTTTTGTCTTTCATTATTCAGATGCAATCAACCGTACAACAACGCTGAAAGTGGCCTAGATATGAGCCATTTAATCCGTAGCATACATCTGGTTCAACAACATGGACCAATAACACTTGAAAGTCCTTAACTAGTGTCGGCAATGCACTTGTGTACCCTTTAATTACAAGCCGATGATTCCTAAAATACTTTGAATGCGTTTCTTATTATTTCTTATTTTCCCACGTCGTATAATTTAAAGCGCAAATAAGAAGATTTTGATCGAATGATCAAAAGTTTTACGCTGCAATTTGCAGAAATTCAAAACTTTATTTTTCTTAAACATGTATTTTTTGCGTAAAAAGTTTACAAACTAAACACCGAAAAGAAATTAAAATTTATACCATGCATGAAAATCACCAGTATTTGTCAACTGATTGCACAAGTCAGCGACAATTTCCTTGAGTTTGCAGAACTGAAATTACTAATTAAAGTAATTGCACAAATATTCGTGCATAGATTTACGGTTAAAACTACTATGATTTTTATAGATGTCTTGCCAAATTGCGTGAATTGCGTAAATATGGAAAAATATTAGCATCTCAATACATATTTTTGCGGATTCGATAGCCTTCATAAGTATTTAAACTTTACGTGTATTTATAGGTAAACACATTTGATTTAACGTATTCTAATTATACGATTCAATAAGTTAAAGTGCAAGTCAAAATGAGGGTTTTATGGTTGACTAGAGTTTGATTGATTTAAATTAAGCAATCATACTCGGCTTCTTGATTGTCTGGAGATTTTAAAAGCAAAGAACTTAATCAAAACCTTGAGATTGGTTCAGTGTATACACATCTATGATCTGATCATGAAAGCTTCTATATTGACACTAGATGATTGGATTCTTAACAGATACATAACTAGAAATATACGAATCAGATTTCATAAGAAATGAATCGGGATTCAGCTGTACAACTTGAAATCTCATACGCGTAGTTCAATCAAGTTGTCGAAGCCCGAGATAAATCATGATCTGTTGATAACAGTTGATTCTGTAACCTGTTCATCTTTTATGAAACCACAAAATGCACAGCTGTTTTTAGTAAACTGTTTCTCAAATCTCCCCACAAAGAAGTTGTTTATGAATACTTCTAAATTGTTCTATGTCTGTCTAGATGTACGAGTGAATAATTAACATACTTCTCATGTACTCATGTTGTTTTATTTTCATTATACATATCTATTATCGCGTCGTATACTTTAGGAATTCTTAAGATCTTTCAATGATTTCAAGATCTCATGCCTCAAGAACTATTTATATTTCTAGCCTCTCATAATTAAAGCTAACTATGATTAGCCTTTTCTTACTCACAATCATATAGATCCATAACTGGCTTGGCTTTGATAGTGATAAACAATTATGTTAACATAATTTGTGTATTATCAACCATAGGTAATATGGAATCTGGAACATGAAATTTAAGCGATCTAGACAATTACTCGAGCAAATTTATAACTCAATATTGTTAAACATTAGTGCAATATCATGTCATTTCAGCATACAATAAGGTTATATTTCTAAAACTAATATCATGTAGGTACTTACGTGTTAATTTCTAGAATGAAACAGCTCAACGTCTACAACGTCTGATACTTTAAAGTTATAACTAGTTCTCGTCTAATTCTGGAAACCTTCACTTGCTTCAACCTACAAAAGGGGTTTGAGATATTGAACAAGATATATGATACGTTAAATATTCTCTATTTTTAAACACTACTATAATATACAATATGAGGTCCGCTGATGTCCCCCTAATATGAACTGATTTGCTTATATTTGCTTCTTTTGGATTTAAATGTTTTAATAAGATCCGTTTTGAAAGGAATTATATCCATAAAAGGATATCGCTTAACTTGATATAAACTTTTTTAGGATTCCGATCTAGCTGGCTTAAGCTTTAACACTTTTTTTAGTTTTTGTTGATTTTTTAGTATTAACAATTGGTTTACTAATTTTATTTTTATTTTCTTTTTTCAATTGTTTTGAACTTTTTTTAATTTTTGATGCAAAGATTTGTGGAACTTCTTTTGGATTTGCTAATTCAAGTAAACCTTTTTCAAATTCACTTAATTTAATATTTTCTGGTAATCCTTCAATAGCTTCATTATTTGATTTAATAACTTTATCATTTGATTTTTGATTTTGTTCTAAATCTTCTTCAGTATAAACTTCTGAAACTTCATATAATGGTAATGCAGGTGATTGATTTGTTTTAATGAAAATAGATCTTAATTCTTCATCTTTAAAATGTTGAATAACTTGAGAAATCAATGATTTATTAATTGATTCAATAGAACCAAGATTTATTGATAAATTATTACTTCTTGGAATATGATATACAATTGAATTTAAAACTTTTTGAATATGATTAAAAGTTGCCTTGATTGAAAAATTATCTTTTGAAATTTTAATTGGAATTGGAATTTTATTTGATTCATAAAAAGTTTTACCTAATAATTTTGGTAATGAAGTAATTAAAGAATCGTCAGCTAAGAAAATATCATTATTTGAAAATAATTCTCTTCTTTTTTCATATTGTTTATAAGTTGTTTTCAATTCTGAACCTGCAATGATTTTAGTTAAAATATTATTTAATTCAGATGATTCAATTTGATCTAAAATTTTAGAATCAACTATACCATCTCTAATGAATAAGATAACTTTTGGTTCTTCTTCAGATTTTGGTTTATTATCAACTTTAATTAATTTTGGTTTAAAGTTTTTCTTTGTAGAGAATAAATCCTTTTTAGTGAAGATTAATTGTAAATTATCAGATAATTCATCATCAAATAATTGAGTTTTACCATCTTTAGATTCAGATTCTTCATTTGATTTTGAAACAAATTTATTTAATTCATTCAAAGCTTTTTCAATTTTGGATTCATCAACTAAATCATCAGTTTTACTAACATTTTTAGAGTTTTTAGCAGCAGCTTTTGCTTCTTCAGCTAATGTAGGAACAACATCTTCAACATTTGAAGCTTTAACAATAGAACCTTTTGGTTTTGTGTTGGCTTTTGTTGGGGTCTTCTTTACCACTTTCCCTTTAGTTTGTGTCTTTTTAGCCATGTTTAATGTGTATATATTGGTTATATGATATAAATTATCAATGTATAAAGGTGAAATGTACTAAATCAATTATACCTGTATGAATTTTTTTTTTCATATATAAGGGAAATAAATTTTTTTATCTGCGATGAGCTCGCGAAAATTTTAAAGACTGGTCATCTGACGCGTCACGTGATATACAAAATAATTGAATTTATAACACTTTCAACGAGTGTTCTTGAAGTTTAAAAGCATAATGGATATAAAGACATTTGAACAAAGTACATGTGTACTTATTGCTTATTTCTTAGTACTTTAACCCCTTCAAAATTCCCTTTCCATCCAAATCCCCATACAAATTATGCAATTCACCGGGTAAAAGAAGTGGATTCGCGGCCTCGATTTTCTTGAAATCGGAGCTCTTAATTAAAGAGACAAAATTGATTGAAATAGTGAATTCTTGTCGCTAGGGCCATCCAATAAATACAGAAATTATTAGAAAATGGTATGTTTGTTATCAGTATAAATATCATTGGAATGGGACTAACATAGTCAAACAAAGGGTAAAAAAAAGTCATCAAGAAAACCAGTTAAAAAAGTTGTTCAAAAATTAGATACAAGTTTTAATTGTCTATTCTGTAATCATGAAAAATCAATAATATGTACATTAGATAAAAAAAACAATTTAGGTTCATTATATTGTAAAATTTGTGGTCAAAATTTCCAAACTACTATAAATTCATTAAGTAAACCTGTTGATGTTTATACTGATTGGTATGATGCAACTGAAGAAGTTAATAATGGTGCTGTAAATAATAGTGATGAAGAAGGTGAAGATTATGAAACTAATGAAAAAAGACAATCTGCTGCTGATAATCAATTCATAGATGATGATGAAGAAGAAGGTGATGGTGATTATAGTGAATGATTATAGAAACTTTTAAATTTGTATATTAGAGAACCAAAAAATTAATTTAGCATTTTATATTATATGGCGCGTGTAGGAAACACAGAGATCTGAAGTGAGATACTCAGATACTGAGATACTGTTATTACTAACTACAATATTGAAACTAATTTTCAATGCATAAAATAAAATTATCTCTAAAAACTAATCAAATAAATATCGATCTTACTTTTTTTGTTTATAATATAATCTCAAACCCCATTATTTTTAATTGTAAAATATGTGGACTTAAGATTTATTGTTTATTGAGTTTTTTTTTTGGTTTTTTTTTTGAATATTGTTTGTATTGTGTATAATAGGAATATGATTCTTTTCTTTTTGAATATTCTTGTTATTTTTTTTTTGTAAATTTGGCTCTTAATGAAAATTCATTTGCTTCATAAAATTAAGAATTATTTTGAAATAAAACGTGGGAAAAATGCTGTTAATATAAAATTGTGAATGTAAAAAACTATAAGTGGAAAAATAATATAATAATAATAATAAATTAAAATTTTCTTTTGTTTACATTCAATTAGTTAACTGGTTTTTCACCAACAGATTCTGGGAATAAATCTTCTTTTAAAGTAATACCTAATTCTTCTCTAGTAGATTTCAATTCTTCTAAATAAGCATTATATTGTTCAGCATTTTCAACTTTATATTTTAAACCTTCGAAAACTCTAACAGCAGTAGCATAATCATTAACTCTTCTAGCAGCTCTTAAAGCTTTTTCAATAACAGCTGGAGATGGAACTAAATCATATGAGAAGGCATTGTTGAGCACACGTTGAACTTCGAATAAATCATAAGCTTCTTCAAATTCTTTTTCAAATCTTGCAGTAAATTCTTCAAAAGTTTCTTCTTCATGAGCTGAATAATTTCTAATTGAAGAGATTCTGTTGAAAGTAGCTAATTTGGTTGTGGTTGGACGAACAGTTGAAACTAAAGAGCTTCTAATAACTGGGGTTCTTAAAGCTTGTTTGATTGATGAAGAAAACATTATGATGTATTTATGATTTGATTATAGGTATTAATATATTTAAATTGAATAACAGAAAAACAGAACAATCTCCTTTTAAAATTGATGAATATAATAACGAAATTGAAATCCTTTGATTATGTTCTTTGTCTATGCAAAATACAATAATTAAAGTATATTGATTTGTTGTTCTTTTAAAAGTCAGATGATTTTAACTATTTCACAACACTAACTTGATGATGACTTTTTTTTTTCCTAACCAAAAAATCCTCTGCCAAAGTAAAAGTTGAGCTGATTATTGGTTGAAAAAACTTTTTTCCATTGGTTGAAATTTTCTTAGTGGGTTTCGCGACTGTGAGAGCTGTAAAGGGAAATGGTTACGTGGCGCGTGCTCGGGATTTGAATTAGTATGTAAATAATTTAACCAGTGGAAATTTGACAGATTTATTGAAATTTTATACAATTTAAAGTGTTTTTATGGTCAAAGATATCAATGGTTTGTGAAAGATAGGGTATGATATTGTCATTGTTTACCAGTGGGATTAATAGAGAAAGGCTGAGTGGTATTCACTTTTTAATCAATTTCATGACTGGTCTATAGTCAATTCTATAGTATCTCAATGGAAGTTGAATGAATGAATCTTCATATCCAGTGAAGAATAAGGTTCTTTGGCTTTGGTTTTGTCCCTCTTGATTGTTGGTCACAGCTTTCACCACTTTTTCAATGATTGATTTTGTTTCAACTTCACTTGAAAATCTTCTTCCTGTTATCCTAACTGAAGATAAATCAGCTATTGAATAATGAATATATTTTTCCATCATATTGTGCTTATAATTCAATTCATAATCATTCCATGGTGAGTTATCGTCAGGAAGTGTTATTTCATGCGGCTCTAGGTCAGGTACTTCAAAATTGAAAATATTCATGTTGTTCAATTGCTCTGCGTTTTCAATTTCAAAGAATTTTGCCCTCTTACCTATTTTCAAAGCATCAAGACATCTTGAATTGTTAAAAAATTCTTTTAGTA